AAAGTAAATGCTATCCCGAGAACATTGATACACATAGCTCCTTAAATTTTATAGAATGTGAGAGAATAGGTTATAGTCGTGCCCGGCAAACCTGCAGAGCGTTTAAATCTTACGACACTAGTCTACCCACTGAATGAACAATTAAGTAGTTCGCTTGAAAGCTTGTCCCACCTTGAGGAAGGCACATGCAGCGCCAAGGATTGAAGTGACTGCAGACAAATGCCTCTTCTAGGTTCAGTCGTAAACTATCCTTAGAAAGTGCAGTGATTGTAGCTTTGTTCCTTTGGCAAAGCCTTCAACAAGATTTTATTAGTGTCGATAAGGCAGGTGATTTCGAAAACAAAGGTATCAGCATTATGCAAACGGATATGCGATAAATGCAGTCTGAAGGCCTGTGATACCTATTTTTCGCCATGATCGGATTTTAAAATTTATCACACAACATATAAACAACAGAAACCAACATCACGACCGCTCAAAGGGCCTTAAAATGGGAACGGAGTCACGTATGACAAGCTCTACTCCCTATCCATGTGCCGTAATATTCGTCTGCGGCCTTGAATAACCGTCCTGTTTACTGCACAGAGGTCAAACACTTATAGGTTATACGGTCTACAATGATAACTACTTTGAGCCTTCAAAGTCTATTTCAAGTAGTAACCATCAGCGAAAGTTGACTCTCGGCGCTTCTCCCATTATCATTGACCCTAAATTAAACACCGTTTCATCGTATATAAACCGGAAATTTTGTAAATGTGCATCGCAGCAGTGGTTTCCTGAGTAAGAGGCATGGGAATCGCTAGCTAAATATTGAATCTGACATTGCTTAGATCACATTCCGCACAATTTCTTTTGCTGCTAAAAATAAACAATAAGATGTGAATGACTTTCTGAAATGAATTCGACTTTGAGCCAATCACATTCTGCGACAAAGTTCTGCCAATAACTCCATGCAATAAAAAGTGCTCCTTGCTTCCTTCGCCTTTGCATGCCTTGCTCGTTCAAATTCAACTTTATCTGAACTCATTCTGCTGTCAGTAATTTTGCAATGAAAGGACGACAGTTCAGTCTGTTACTACTAATTGTGTCCCATTCAGGTGGCAATAACACATCTACCTGCCATGCATAGGAGGCAACACGTTCGTAGAGGTGACAGTCTACGTCACGATACAGTTACATTGTGTAGGCTGCTTTTTTCAACAGCCTCAGAAAGTTATCAGCAGCCCCAATTGGTTGTCGTAGGAGAGGCCTCAGAGCGATTGCTCGTTTAGCCATAAAGTAATTTAGTTGGCTTTTAAATAGACACCTTATGGAATACGAAGTCAGCTTTACACAGCTTAACTTTCTGCATTTTTTTACGACGCGTTGTTCAAACACATTTTTGAAGCGGGGGAGGCAGATCATGTCTTATGATAAGGCAGTAAAATTACTAACCACAATGAATTGTTCTAGAATGCTGTAAGCCTACTTGATATGGAGAAAAAGTCCTTAGGGGAGGCGAATACTGTCCTTCTAAAAGTATAGAAGTCATAAGTTGGATACATGTGCTTTCCCTTCACTTTTTTATGCCTGGCGGGATGAGGGTCGCTGTTAAATAACCGCGAGATTTCATCGTTCGCAGAGTAGCTTCATCAAGCTGATAACAAGACTTTGTCCACTAAGTAGTAAAGCAAATTGTTCAACTCAGTTCTTTGCGAATTGTATAGCTCAAAGCTGAGGTTGAGCTGATGAAGATGCAGCTTATGATTGGCTTCATTTCATAACAGTCGTGTAACTTGCGCACTAGCGATACCGCATGACTAATTGCTACAATAGTCAAAAATACTTCCAAGGACTAGCTAGAAACTGGTCACTAAGTTTTGAATTTGAATCATGACGATTTATTCCAACAGGTTCAGGTAGGCACATAGCTCAGAGCCCAGCTCACCTGACAAAGACACAAAATTACCTTGAACAACCACTTAACGTGCTGACAATGATGACAGGTGCATTACTAGGTCATGTCAAGGCTATGCTCCACCGCGCTGTCTAGCAAATTAGATAAATTGACGTGGCTCTTCGCTATACACAAATACTGGCGTGGTCTCAACAAGGCTTATCCTCTTGAGACCATTAAGCCTTTACAACTACTTTCGAACTCATCAAATTATGCTTATCACAATTTTCACTTTGGACGTCCCTGATCCACCTCACTAACCAAGTAAACATTTTCCAGCACAGCGGCAAGCTTATGGCAGTTCCGAATAACCCTTCGAGGATAGTTGCGGAGTTGACATTCGTCGATGTTAATTTTAGTGTAGAGCTTAGCTTTTGTCCAGATCGGGCATCCTTCTAAATCACCTCCTCGAAACGGACTAGAAAGTCGCAAAATAACGCTGAATTAGTAATCGGTCCGTTTGCTGAATGCAAAATATAACTCAAAACTGGAAGTAAGAAAATGTACTCCATTTTCTTGCAATGACTACTTTAGATTAGCGCAGTCAGGCGTCTGAAACTTAGTCAACAAAATAAGAACTTGGGAGATTTACAGGTAAAGCTTTTTGAGATGAAAGTAAGCCAAGTAGGTAGGAAGGAGCTAGACTAGTGACGCTTCTCGAGTCGTTCGTGATCCATAGAATGAACTTTTATGCAACTGTAAAATGCCCAAAGCTACCTTCCGTGACGGCGAACTGCTCTACCAGTCCAACAGCTACTATTTCTTAACGCTAATACAGTGAATTGACTTACAGAAGCTGAAAAATATCTGCCTTTCGTTTACATTAGGACCTCAAAAGCCCTAGTAAGGCAACATTTCGATGAAAAGGCTTGTAAATACGTTTCAGAGTCAATATGGATTGTGTGTAGTAAAAGAATAATTCTTGACCCGCTGTACACAGAGTCATAAGGCCTCCGAAATTAGCGAAAATGTTTCAAATGGCTTGACATATGATCAGAATTGATGATTTAAAAAGAGCAAGTCTAGCCATACTCCAATTTTGTCGAACCGGTGAGCTAATGCTGCTTCGTGTTTTGAGTTCGTCGAAAATACAAATCGACATACACATAGTTAACGTTGCGAATCGGTGCACCCCCCTTCAAACTCCGACCGACGTGTGTGGACTAATTTCAATGCACATCAACAAATGTCCCTTCAGAGAGCAAATACGTTTTTGAGGGGCTAACGCAATCCAGTGGGTTTCAGTTACTAAAAAGCTTTCCCAAACTTTCCTCTTCCTTGATTAAACGCCCAAAAACCATACGAAGAACATGGTTTTAGTGGCCGAAGTGTCAAGAGCAAATTTATTAGGGTGTGACAAATATGGGGAGGCTGCGAAGCGAAAATTTAAAACCCATTAAAGCGGTAAGTTAGTCTACTTCGACTGCACACGAAGAACCTAGCATACGCATTTGGCCAACAAATTCGTGACTAACAAAGTGAAACAATTACGGGCGCCGAGAAGCCGAGGAAAGCTGGAAAGGAATTGGATAATTAAAAAAGACCAAACATTGTATAAAGAAAAGGAGACACTATGAATGATTTGAAAAAATGATTGATAAACAAATAACAAGATGACTAAATTGTACTTATTAAGGCTTACAAAGCCTTAATAAGTACATTTGCATCTTTGCCGCTTCAACTGGCACACAACTGAAGTCGTTTACTCAACCGAGGTAAAGTAAAAGCGACCAGAAGGTTTTAGCAGACCCATGCACACAAACTTTTTGTTTCGTTGACATCACGCTTTATCATGACATATTGAAGCGCAATAAAACGAGCATGGAGCAAAGGCTTTGAAGATTGCTGCCCAGTTAAACAAAAAATGGAATGTCGCGAGTAACGTTAGGCAGCGTAGGACAGTCAAATCGTCTCAATTCCCAGAATTTTAATTAAAAAAGTTAAAAACTACTTTGACAGTATTAATAGCTTGCTTTCAAATAATTATTTTATGTAGCAAACCCAACTGGCCAGGTAGGTTAAAAGCATGATGACCTGTCATTACTCCACTCTCCATTTCTGCAACGCACGTTGCATCTGAAAGCTCAGAAAACATTGCGACTGGTTTGCGTGCCTCTCTCCCGATTTTTGCACGGAATGGATTTAAACAGCTAAATCTTATCATGGCGCCATGCTCATGTAAAGGCTGTCAAACCATCGAGTAGCTTTTTCAAAGAGTAAACAAATAACAATCATAGTGTCATCTACAATGCCATGCGTTCACAAAGCTATTACTCTTTAGAGCTTAACCAAATCGGTTTTCGGGACAGCGCTTCAAACTGCGTTATTGCGAATCCTCTGGAGGCGACTTCTTGCAGTTGATTTTGGCATACAAGCAAAAGGCTTGGATTTGGCCTTGATTTGTGCAATGGCTACAAAAAAGTTGAATCGTAAAACAATTTGGTCCAAATTCCTGCTCAATTCGACGTGATGATAAACCAGCAATCAACTACGCGAGCAGAGGCAGTAACGATCCAGAAGTGTACTTACCAACGTGAAGCGAGACCGAGAACAGGGCCACAATTAGCGTCCAACACCGCGTTTCTGCTCATTCGTAAGTGCCTGCTTTGACGTCTTACACTTAATAAGTAGCAATGCTTGCAGCCGGTTGAATCAAGTTCTCTAAGGAAGTCGACCGTTGATGGCCTAGCTGACGATAAATACCCGCTGCACCTTCGCCTCTACCAGTCAAACCAGTTTACCATTCGATAAATTAAAAGCATGAAATAATATGAACAGCAACCACCTTCGTGGAAAGAGAGATTGTGCAGGAAACTCAGAAAATGGGTAGCCAAATAAAGTACTGATAAGTTGAGATGCAATATGCTCCAAATGGTATGGAGGTAGTGAGTGCCAGTGAGAGCATGTTTGAAACCTTTACACATAGTAATAAAATACAAGGGAATGTCAAAACAAGAGGAAAGAAGGGGACGATAGCAGATGCAAAATGTGTCAAATGACCAGAGGGAATGAAGTGGAGAGACTAAAATCACAGGTGAGACGAAAAACTGCGGCAAAAGCTGACTCAGTGCGAGACCATTTTGGCAAACTGTCCACTGCTCTCAGGCAAGACCACAGGCGTGGCGAACCAAGAGAGACGTTCTTCCAGCCTTTGCCTTATCAGAAACTCATCCTTCTTTGACAACTTTAGAACTGTGGCAACCACGCGTACCAACTGCAACGCCTGCAAATTGAGAGGAAACAAGGAAAAGGTCTTTAAATAACTGAACCCAGTCCATCGCGTGACAGCAAAAAACAATGAATGAAAGACAGCAGCAACTGCCTATTAGTACAATTATGCTATTTCAACGTGTATTAGGGTAAATGTAATTGGCAAGTTTAAATAATTAGAGGTGTTCGTATTACGAAGCGTGTTAGTAACAATTGGTAAAATGCATAAAGAGAATAAACAGTAGGGATATAGGCATTATGGGTAATTACATGGTCAGGAATTATCAAAGTCACTGCGGAGAAAATCGCCTGAACTTTTACGACACATTATGGGAACGAAGCGGCAATAATCCTTTAATTTACCATAAGACAAGTACACAAAAAGATAGACTGACAAGAAAGAGTCCGAAGAAATTTCAGAGAGACAAAGTTGCGCAAAGACCGATGAGCACTGATAATGCAAATGAAAGGGCATTTATGCTCCAACAAGATGAAACAACACTCTCCAATACGCTATTTAAACAAAGTAAGATGATACTTCGGAGCTGGAGAATAGGGTGTGTAAACGTCAGTGTAGAAAATTAATTGGTATTCATTTGCCTTAAGAGAAGTGGACCATATACTCAGATACTTATCACACCAGGTATGCCATATCTTTTGAAAATACCGGAAAAAGCCAAGGCCAATGACAAAAAAGGAGGGCTGAGGACAACGGAAGGCCGTAAGCATTTTTGAATTGAGGATTAGCATAGATACTGAGGATGAAAGTGGACAAAATATACCCTGTAGCTGTTCCAGATCCCATTGGCTAACAAATAACACAACCCGTTCCTTCCATTCGGAACAAACCATTCCCATGGATAATGATGATGATTATCAACCACCGATCAATGCCAAAGCAAAGCTTAACACATTTCCCAATAGTTTTCAATTCCAGAGGGCACTCTCAGCCACTCATATGCTTCATGCGTAAAACGCGGCACAAATTATCGATTTTCCCGGCAAAATCAAAAAATAGGCGCAAATATTCTCTGGATAAGGACACCCTACAACAATCTGAGGCATAGTTCGAAGCAGCCACTTATCATGTAGCCGTGGAGAACGCGTGCAACATACCTATGCTTCCAGCAGCGTATGGGCACAGTTATGTTCCGGCACATGTTTAAGACTGACTCTTCAAATTGGGAATCGGAGTTTAATTGAGACGCATGTAAAGTTTAAGGACTTTAAGTGGGAAGACTAAAGAGAAAGCAATTTCATCCTACTAGAAAAAAAATAGTTAAAACAAGACACCACTCTAAGGAGTTAAGACTGACCTCTGCATCGTGACTGAGGAAAAACTTTAGGAGGACGTGTCGCATGTATTCGAAGTTGATTGGGTCGGCGTCGTATTGAGAGTTAGTTAGTGATGCCGTCGCCGGTGGGGCAGCAGACAACACGGTGGGAGCACAGTGCGAATCGAGGCTTTGCGGCGTCTCCATTGCTGGTAAAATAGCAGGAGGACTGGTACTTGGAGCTTGGTGAGTAGACGCAAACAACGGTGGTAGCGTCACCTCATCCACAGCTAAAGAGGGTCCACCCAGTGCTCCTGATCCTGCAGCACCACTGTAGGTCAATGGGAAAAATAGGAGAGATTTATTGTTCACTTCCCGAACTAAAAGGCAGTTGTGAGTTAAAATTCAATCGCGTAAGTTTCTCGATCCTTGCAGTCTGGCTACCATTCTTGTGGCTTTTAATTTCCGCAGAAAGAACATCAGCCTCTCTGCATACTTTGAGCTAGGTTTAATCCAGGAATGCACTTCTTGATTGCATTAAAGACAACTCGAATTCGAAAACCATTACTTGAAGCCTCAGATCAGTAATAGTTTAAGAAAATAGTACCATCCGCTGAAGTGGTCCGACCACAGCGATTAACATTCAGTAATTCCGGCTTCAATGCAAAGAATGCGACAAGATAGGATGAAAAACATAGTAAACTCATTAGAACTTTAAATCAACCATCGTGACAAATTTCATTTAGTTGTAGGAGCCGCAGGAATTCGAACGGAGTAAAGACAAAATGAGACAGCTGAATGAACACTAACATGAGTGCATAGAAAGAGCATGGCGGATCACAGGCGGAGAGTGACAAGGATGGTAGTTCATGGTTTAACCAATAATAAATGGATGTTGCAAATGCAACACATCAGCATTCTTGACGGTTCTGTAAGTGAATATCAAGTTTATGGCATGCAGCAACTGCATGATGCGTTAGGCGGTTTTATGTGAAAAATTCGCAGATTGAAATAACCGGCTCACGTTGTGCGGTGTTGATACGCTGCTAACACAGGTATAGCGTTTATGTGGTTGATAAAATCTGGAAGCAAGCGTCCTTCATCCACTGACAGTAACGCAGATGCCAGGGATTCGGTTTGTTAGCGGAAAATATTCAATTACTTGAAACACCCATTTCCCGATAAAACGCTGCATCCAACATAACCTATTTTTACAGCCAAGAAGCTTGGCAGAATCGAGCGTTTCACAAAAAAGGACTTAGCAGGACAGGTGAAAAAACCTAAAACGTAAGATGGGAGGCACACGCTGCGTCTGAGAATGACATGGATAATTTGATGAGGAATTGAAAACGACAGCGCAGATGCAAAAAAATGCCAAACCTGGCCCATTTGGTATATCGACCCTACTAGAGAAGGTATTTCAGTGTTTACATGAGTCGCCAATCCCACACCCAGCAGCCGATTGCCAAAGTTTATAACAGGGGAACGAAAGACTTGGTGTCAATTGAAAAGAATATGATCGATTACCAAATAAAATTCAAATAAGATGGGATTGGAGAGGGCGTAGCAACTCCTTCAGCATCTCACGATGCCATAAGTCATTAAAAGAAGGACCTCTTAATAAAACTAACCCACAGCGAGTTAATTAAAAGATTTGAAGGGAACATTCTAGCCAAGAAATGAAAGGGTCTTAGTTTCAGTTTAAAAAAGTTCCAACTCTAGTAAATGGTTCTGAATGAATTATTTTGAAAAGAATCGTACCTAATCTATGCATCTGTACACAATCAACTGTTTCAGAGTTCGATAAGGGTTTATGGCAACAATTTTAGAAAAGCTTCTTGATCTCGTATCTAATAAGGGATAGAGGAATTGAGATTCGCCTTACTATGTGAGAATATGCTGCTGATTGGTGTCACTGCTTAAACTATCTCTGTTTATACAAAAAGAGAGATGGGAGAGAACACCTACATTCCGACTTGGAAGCAAACAAAATCGCATGAACGTAGGTGATAGTAAAGAATTTGTTTACAAACGGTGGTGGTCTTTTCACCAGATCAATTTCCAACACTACCTTGAGAGTCTTGATCCAAGGCCTGCATCCCGCAAAATGGGTATCGCATGGTGCGACAGAGGGGAATTCAAGTAATAAGCGAACCACATTATGTGAATAAAATAGATGCTAATAAATGTGAACTTGGGAATCGGGATTTGTAAGAGTTCGTGACATTGTACATGTAATGACATTCAAAGTTTATAGATAAGTACAAGTAGGATTGACTGGCATCAAACGAATTACCCATTCAGTCAATGCAATTTAAAAAAAAGTCACAGCACTTACATCCATTTAAGGGACCAATTTTTTCAGTTCAGAGACGCATTAAAAAATTACCTCCACCAATTCGCTCTTGAGAGAGTTGCGGCGCAAATAAAAGCTTTATATAAACACAAAAGAATGTTTCACGAACTGCGGTGATATGAAAATGTCGTACTGAGAAAGAAGAACATCACATTCCATCGCCGTAATAACAAGGTGGCGCAAAAGGGATAAGGAGGGAAAGAGACAGCCATAAGTGACACTCCAGACTTGCATGTGGAGTTTGGAAGATGAATGATGCGCTAGGGTACACAGATAATCAAACTAAATGGCGCATCAAGAAGATGTCATCAATGTTTTAGCACTGCTTTTGCCTTAGGGAACTTCAGAATCGGCCCTACTTACAATAGAAACTGTAAAGCAGTTTTCCATGTGGAAATGAACGATGAATAGTGGAACTTTATTTGCAAACGAATACGGGTTTACTAACCACTGATGTTTCGATGCTCTGGGGCTCTTATCATCACAATTCAACTGAAAATTCCTCATCCGGACCCGTCCACCATGTTTTTCAGGTCGATCCATGAACTTTTCCTCCGATTTGTCTCAAGTAAAGTGTGATTGGCCCTGAAATTTTGCGGTTTTCCTGCTGGTTAATCACTAATTTCAAGAAAGCAGTAAATACCATAATAAACGACCCAGTCAAATCCTCACCAATTCCTTTCAACAAGTCCCAAGAGTGCTGGTAAATTTAGCCAGTCATATTGTGTGCCAAAAGGATTGTATCAAGTAGCAGTAACTCAAAGATATACCATGCTAGATTGTTTTGTTGTCCCATTAACAGTTATAACACAAGTTGTTCTTGAAGTAGTTTCATGAACGCTTCAGCATAAAAGGCCGACACAAGAAACGGAAAATCATGATAAGATAGGCTTGGAGGCCAATCTGATAAACAAACCTATGGCAGTTTAAAAGTAGCATTGAAGACTTTAGCATGGTTGAATTAGTCGATAGCTTAAACCACATTGGAGAAGAGAAAACATCATTTGTCTTCGAGTTTCAACACTACTCCCCACAATTTATTCTGGAAAAGTACCAAAATCAAGTCACTTTCGCACAAATATGCATGAATAAAAACTATCTTGGATCAGTAAAGGCATTCTGTTCAAAATTTAAAATGAGCAAACTAATGGAGTAGCCTAACTAACCTAGGTTGACCATAGTAGAATGGAGAATTAGCAGTTGCAACTGACTCAAATTTAGTTCCACATGCATTGCGGTGGATCCGAATCACATCTATGGAATAGATTTACAACTTTCCCTGTTAAACCTTAAAGAAAAGGCATTATGCGAAAATATAAGACTTAACATCCGCAGAAGGTAAATAACACGAGGATGCAGGCAGCTCTCGCCATAAAATTGGTGCATAAGAATAGCTTTAGAGCGAAATTATAAGGTCCACAGAAGGTGCTGTGCTGACGGCCTTCGCATTGAACCTTCTACCAGACCTTAGAGATGAAACGCGGGTGCACCCACCAACTTATTTCCAAGTTTTGTGTGCGTCTAAACATTCCTCAAAGAAATAATCTTCATTTAACAAAAACCGGATGGGGGACAAGTCCTTCTTTAGACTCTTTGATAAGCTCACGTCTGGGATATATCTGTCCCTGTCAAAAGACTTTGAATATGATAAATAAATTGGTCAATTTGCCCAACATTCCAGCCAAAAGAAAAAGTGTTTAAAATTAGCCAATCTACCGAGTGCACTGGAACACCATAAAGCAATTTCAAGGCATTTCTTCATTGATAAAGTGCAAATGTAGCATAAAACCGCAGTAGTTAACATCATCATTAAGCAGCAGCAGAGAGGATATTCGTTTTTCAGACATTTCCAACGTTGAAATGAGCTATTAATGCAAATAAAAACCCAGGAATCGACAAAACACTGAAATACTCCGCAAAACTAAGTGTCTGCATTTCTTGAACTCCACGTAAAGCTTAAAAACATTTTCATTCACAAAGGCTTGACATATGTTCATAAAACATGATCGGCAAAGATTAACGAACACGATGGTAGTGCCTGGTCAGAGCAATGACCAGCACTCATACTACCTAGCTACATGACAGAGAAGGGCTATTGTATATACTTCTGCAAAGGAAAACGCTGAAGCCCAACACCATGGGCACAACCGAATTCGTAACACAATCAAGAGAAGGTGTCGAGGAAGAACAGACAAACCTGACGAAGGCTGACTGATGATGATTGTGTACTTCCTCATCAGTAGAAATGAGAGAGAGGTTTGATACTGCCACTGGCTTCAACCCCTGACCAAGAGCCCTTTTCAGTTCTGACAGCTTTTGCTTTTGCAGCCGAATAGTCTAAAGCAATGTAAAAACATCTCAGAGCTCAGTACAAAACATTTTTTCAAATGACTCAAGCCGTTTAAGTTGGCAAACAGCTTCGTGTCACGAATATGAAAATGATGAGTTCAAAAGGCTACCAGTGAACAGTCACAATAGTGGGAAGTGCTCTGTCCGATGTAACAAGATCCTCTTACTAAATGGGGGAGAAATGGAGGACTTGTAAGGGCACTCAATAAATCTTGATGATGGCACGCGAATTTTACTTTTGGCAATTGATTCCAATGCCAATCAATGTTGTCAGTACAATTTATAAGTACTCCATCCGGAGCAAAGTGGTTAATTTAAAGCATTCATGACTGAAACTGCCAATAAAGACGCATCATACCAAACTATCAGCACTGGGCGGCATGCACAGGAAGGCCAAAATCACACGGCCAATTTTTGTTAGCGGAGTAATAAAATCCTAGCCAACTTGACCTCCAAATGGACCAGTTGTAAGAGACGAGCCGTACAATCAGACAGGAAGAGATATGATGAACTCAAAATGGTGATTTAAGGATAGCGTATCCCTTAACAATTGCAGCGATCTTGTCTAAACATCAGCGCGCTTTTACGCAGATGATTAAAATGGGCGTCAATACAATATTAACCAAATGACACGATGGAAAGCCTTGCACACCAAAAAACGCCAGTTTTAATAGGCTTCAAAGATCATTATCTCAACATTTACGGAAAGCACATTGGTTGCCAAGACTCCTTTAACGCATAAACCAATAAATTACTTCACGATATTCGAAAAGCCCAAGAATTAAGTTTCGACAAGTGAACACCAGGCAAAGTTAAGGTATTATTGACGTCAGACTGCTATGTAACAAAAGCGAAGAAGGGCTTCCTCACCAGAAAGGTGAGCCAGCTTTAAGAGACTACTATACATCTAATGCCCGAGTGAATGCAAAGGTGACTGCGATGCTAAGCCGTGATAAAATATTGGAAACCTGCCCATGTTTATCTACATGAACGACAACCAATGAATGAAAACAGAAGAACCTGAAAAAAAGAAACAGGAGGAGTCCACATAAAGGCATGTCAGAGTCTATTCAAACCTTTACTCATGGGCAAGCCGATTATTTCAGATAGGAAAATAAGCCAGATTTAGGAACAGCATATTCTACATCAATGTTACCTGACATTTTTGAGCAGAACAGAAATGAGATCGTTTCTACTCATAACCCTTAGACCGCGAATTTCGCGCACATCGCGATAAATGTAAATCTTGGAAGTTCAATCAGCATCGTGCTGTAAATACGTGTACGCTCTACTTCGACCTACCCACATTTCCGCTGACCAAGTGATAGGCCACTAATAGTATAGCAGCAGTGTTTATTGAGACTCCTCGAATCCTTGGAAACTTTGAAAGAGAATGCTGTCAAAAGTTCGACCTATTGACCTTGCGTTATGTTTCCTTCCGATAATGCTAATTTATACATTTACTTGATCTGTGCCGGCGAGATAAAAAATTACACATGAACAGTAGGCTGATATAGGAAAAAACAAGTAGCTGATAACAAGGTATGATTTCTCCCGTCCTCCAAAGAAGCCAGTACTTACTTTGTTGCGATCCGAAATCACTTCGTTCAATTCGTCGATCGAGGCCTTTAGAGAAGCGACCTCTGTGAAGGAATGGGCCGCCTCGAATTCCTTTCGCTTCCTCTCAAGTTCCGCAAGCCTACTCTGGAAATCATTCTCCATCTCTGCTAACTATAAAGAGTGAAAAGTAAACGTGGCCACGTCGGATTCAGAAATAAGCACTTTGATAAAATCGATTTTCGCGAACAGAAGGAGAAGACAGTAGAATTACCAGATTGCTTGATTGAGCTTTTGCACATAATCTTGATGGATAGTTTTGAGACGAGATGCATACATTTGGAAATGTAATAAAATACGTTTAGTCGACAATATTCATTGAAAATTTATAGCACTGCGATGGTAAATTCTGAGGATTCTTAATAGCTTTTGAAAAAAATATGCGAGGTGAAGGATAGAACAAGGCCTTGTTCAATAAGAGGCATTTTAAAAATTTAGGAATCCAACAATAGCTTGGAATACCGAAAGTGCATCCATTACGGGCGAATTCAATTATTATGAAGAGCTACGAACAGCGTGGATGACAATACGAATTCAAGAACAAAGAAGGCTAACTTTAGCACAAAGAGCATCTCGCTCAGACTGCAGTTGATGACATTTGACATCGGCCGTGTTAGCCAACTTTTGGGCATCATCAACCCGCTTGGCCGATGCCGCCAGCTCTGCCTCAGTTGTAGCCAATTTCTCCTTCAATGCTACACTTTGGGTGACATCAGCTAAAAATAGGCAGTCATGTCTGATAATTAGTGCAAGCACTTACCTTCGTTTGCGCGCTCCTGAGTCTGAGTAAGCCTAGCCATATCCGCTCTCAAGTCAGCATTAGTTTCGCTCAACTCTCGCAATTCCTGCTCCAGCTTCGTTATCTGTAAGTAGTCAAATTCTTTTTTACTTAAAATACATAAGTAAAACTGCTGTGCTAACAGATTCTCTCATTTTTGGATATACAAACTACGTGCAATGACGAATTGACCTTCTCGCAATTCAATCTATCCAGAGCCCTATGCTGTGAGTTCAATTGCTGAAGCTCTGCAATTTTGACGGCCTCTGCGTCAAGTTGAATCTGAGAAAAATTTATGAGTTTAGGGGACCTACCTTCAATTCTTCATTTTCATTCTTTAGCGAATTAGCTTCCTTGACACTGTTTTCCACATCCTTCTCCAGATCCGATACCCGTAACTGAAGTTCTTGCTATAAAATGAGCCAAGAAAGTACTCACCATTACATAACTTGAAAGAATCGATTAATGTGCACTATTTGAAATTCTACTTAATAGCTCCAAGAGATGGGCTACCATTTCACACATAAGGTCAATAATTAAACAGCAAGTACATCTTATCAGTGGTCAAAAACAATTATTTTAAAGTTGTGGGATAACGAGAGGATCTTGATTTACCAAAACCTGCGTGGAAAAGTAGCATTTGTATAAAACTAATAGGATCAGGAGTAATGCAATGCGCAGAGACCGCGCCACATTTGCCCCAGGCCCACGACATGGTAGTCAATATGACTAAAGCATCAGTCCAGGAGTAAGAACAGAGTGAATTACCGAAGAATGAAGGACTTCAGCATGCATACGATCATCAGTTTGCATAGATTGTTGCATCACGACAATCTCGGCCTTTAGTGATGCATGCGTCATCTCCTGCTCCTGATGCTGCTCTTTCTGAATTAACTTCTGCGACGTTTGCTCCGACTCCAGCTGCTTGTCGCGAAATTCTATCAACTTGGTAGTACAGAAGGGACGAAACTCACAAATCTATCTTAGGAAGCCGCAAACCCAATTATAAAATCAACCAAGTGAATCGGATGTATGGATGAATGTACTGTCGCGGTGAATAGGCTACAAAATAAGCAAGTATATAGCTATGCTCCCATAAGAGACTATGCAAATATGAATGTAGATGTAAGACTGGACATTCATGAAGGAACTCATAATCGCAACACACAAACTGCAAAAGGGGAAAGCTGAGACAGCAAGGCCCAGATCTTTACTGCTGAATGGACTACTGTTATGAAAGCTGCTACAAGCGATGTGCCTTATGAAGGAACAAGATGGCTGTGGCTGCAAAAGTATTGAAAACCCCCCACAGTAAGATCAAAAAAGGGTGTGCAGCCAAACTCCGTATTAGCATAAAATTTGTAAACAGAGATGCCCAAGAATTGAGAGCTCAAAAGACTCACCTCTGACTCCAATTTTTGCCGCTGACTTTCCCATTCAGCTCTCTGTGAGGCATATTCAGCAGAATCCTCAAAGATCCTATTATTTAGATGCGTGACTTGAGATTCAAGATCTGCGATTTTTTCGCCCATAGTCGACTTGACTTCTTCCAGGTTTTTTCGTATTTCTGCCAACCGGGTCTCTAACAGCTTACGCTGGAGAAAAGCGGGGAAAAAACCGGAATATCAAAAACGGGCGACGAATGTACACTTCACTTTCCACGCTCTTCACAAATGTCTTCTTACTATACAATCCTTCTATGCAAGAGATCGTAAAACTAAGCAAAAGTACAAGCGGACTTATATACAATTATAGCAGAGTGGAAACTTCCTGCCATAACTTTTAGGCAGAGAAAAATAAGAGTGCTAAAAGTGAACATATCCAAGGATATACAATTATAGCAGAGTGGAAACTTCCTGCCATAACTTTTAGGCAGAGAAAAATAAGAGTGCTAAAAGTGAACATATCCAAGGATACTGGAAAGAGGCGCAATTAGCTATCTAAGAGACTCAATTTTGTTATGAGGACATTGAGGAAAACGAATGATTGAAGTGGAAGGAAAGAGGATAAAAAATTAGGGTAAAGCACAAACTTCAACAAGAAGAGTAACACATCGCTCCGAAGCAGCCTCCAGCGAGTCGAGACTGGGGAGAGTGCAGGAGGTGAGTTTTATTTCGCCAATCTGCTCAGTAAAAACATCAGAGCTGGGTTCAGTAAGGAGAACAAGACGGTCTTCCAGCAAACGAACGCGATCCTTCAAATCCGATTCACGTGCGCTAGCGCGCAGAGATGCATTCCTTGCCTCGATGCTAGCCTTCTCCGCCTCCGCCTGCGCCGCCTGCACCCGATCCAACGCCTCCAACGCTTCGCGCTCCTGTCGACTCACAATCTCCTTTAGCTGGAAACAGAAACATTAATAAGTGTAACTCACTGCCTTACACATTCCTATCACACACAACAAAGAATTGATGACAGGCAACATTCTTCTGAATGAATGATTTCATAAGGAAATACCATCCATATAAAAAGTAGTACGAATGTGCGTCTGATGTGTCCGTAAAAGGTGCGCCAGCCATCCAATAAAGCATTGATTATGCAAGATTGGAGAGTTGAAGCTTAGGTATGTGTTAGTATGTGTTTTATTGAAGTTCAAAGTAAAGCATGGAAACGAATAAATCAGAGAGAAGGAGACCTTGTTTAACTCTGTAGTGAGATCCTTAACCTCCATTTCTGCAGCATCCCTTTCCCCTTCGAGTTTACGTAATTTCTTCTCGTTAAAAGACTGGTCTTCGACAATTTTTAAACTATGAAAAGGAAAATAAGGCATTGTGAACTAGCAAAATCGAAATGACCAAAGACTAATAGGCTGACTCACCGGAGTTCTTCCGCCTTTTCCAAGGCCATATTTTTAGCCTCCACTTCTTTGGATAACTGATCCAACTGAAGAGAGAGATTTTCGATCTCTGCAACCTTTTCTGCCAATTGAGAACGCAAAACCCCTATCTCTTCCTCCAAATTTGCGAGCTAAAAATTGACACATCATCAGCAATGCAACACTTGAGCACGCAAAATCTCAAAACATATATCAATGTACATGTTTTTTTGCACATTCTAATTCCTGAATTGCCTTGCGGTGTTGCTCATCTTTTTGAGCAATAACCTCCTCAGAAAGTCGATCGACAGCAGCAAGATTCGCTTCAGCCTTAGAGAGTATGCTGCCCAAATCTGAACGTGTCTTGAAGTGAAAGAGATAAGGAAAATGCTTAAGTTGGCAAAGTGCAATTTCGTGAAACAGCAGCTAGACTAGAAGAACAATGCATGCAATAGTTTGAACTGATACAAAAACTCAACAGATTCCGGATCCTCCCCAGTATGATCGGGATTGGTCATGCTTCGGCCTTCCGCCCAAGAGTTGACACGTAGGAGCTCTATTTACGAGTTTTTAATAAGGTTGAGCAACTCACCAGTCCTGAGTCTGTTAATTTCCTTGTTAGAGGCTTCAATTGAGAGATCCTTTTGGCGTAAAAGAACACCCAGTTCCTCAACCTTGGCTTCAAAGTATTTAATTCTATGGTTTTTATGATGCTAAGCAGGGCAATAATAAACTAAAAGACATACCGCAGCTGCAGAGTTTAAGCTAGTTAATGACTCGTTGGAGGCCACCATAGATCCAGCTTAAAACAAAGAAGAGAGGGCGAACTGGTTCTCGAAATGAACCAACAGTGCTGATTATTAGTTACAGGAGTAAAACAAACTAGAAACGTTAAAGTATGATCAATATACACATTGATGTAAAGCGAATATGAATGAATTCAAAAAAGAAAGGAAAATCAATTGCTATTACAAAAATTATAACAATTCCAACTTCAAGCAGTCGTACAAACTCAGCCAGGAAAATGGGAAGTCATCAAACAAAAAGTTCTAAAAAAATAATTCAGTGAACTTCCCACAAGAAGAACTAAATTTACGCTTACAAAGCTGCATGAGTTAGATCTAACTGTCAGCGATACAAAATACAATTAGCAACCTTTCTCAGCGACGGTCCTAAAGAATCCTAAACATTAATGGAACCGATAAGAGACTGGTCAAAATGCCTTGAGTGACATAAACGAGGAGTACACGTGATTGCACGAGACAATGAGGCAAACTTGTGATCCTACGTCACAACAAGGACACAAAGTTACCAACGCTATCCGGGTACAGTGATTGTGGATAGTAATGTGAATAATTATGCCGGGACACTTATATAACTAGTTCAACAGCTGAAAAGCCAGCAAACCTGCTATAGAACTCCGAACTGAACGAACGCTGGAGGAACCTTTCCTGTCCTTCGAAATCCTATTTTGTAGTTCAGAAAACATTCGGGAAGTCTGAATATCTAACGCGCACACCTCTTCAGACAGCACAACTCTTATTTGCTTGGTAAAACAATTAGACTTCACCCTCAATAGATATTGTGATTTAGGATTTTATGAGCCGAATTTTTCAATTACCGAGAAAAATATTGCCTTAAAGCTAAGATAAATACACAAAAGGGACAATAATTTTACTCTATTTTTCTCACAGTCGGACTATCTTGAGATCGAAATATACAGAAGTAAACTCCTGGCGATTCTATAACGCACGCAATTACTAATTTGATCGTTTATTTTTATATAACCTTTACCACCACCAAGCTATGCTGTTACCCCCGTTCATATCATCAGCCGTATGCCTAGCTGTCACTTTCGCGCGCTCAAACTTCACCCTATTCTTCTTTAAAACAAGCATATTCAACTCCTGCTGTATGTCTTTCCCAGCATGGGACAAAATCTCAGTACTCTACGCACATAACTTATCCCATTTTCACACAGATGGCCTGTGTGCTCGAGTATGGCGTAGCGTTTCCAGACCCTCGCTAGATAAGAGTAGGCGTAGGACATGGCTAAAAACACATTTTCAAGTGGAGGAGGAATGGATTGCGTTTCGGTATAGTCCAAGACACAGTTTTCCTGGTAGAATTTATGTAACCGATAAAGGTGGACTAACAAACAGTGGTACGTAGAAAATTAATACATATTGTAGCGTACCGAGGCACACGTGAGGTTGAATACATGTATTCCGGAGACAACGGAACAAGTGGGGTCTGAGCATGATCCGAAGGCCAGCCTACATGCACAGGGGCCAGACAAATTCTAAAGTGACCGCCAAACGTCAGATAGTCACATAAGCAAAGCATTACATATACTGTGGAGAATTAATTTATCGATTGGTCAAACTCGTACAGCTATTATCAGTACATGTAAGATTTAAGCTATGCTCTGACGTTTATTGCATGAGCAGCTCGCAAAATGCATAGTACCACATATTAAATGCATTACAACATAAGTATTATAATACAAGGTGTAGCGCCTAAAGGCTTCCCACCAAGCAGAAGAAAACATTAAATGGACCTGAAAACATGTATTCTAAGGAGAGCAGGAGGATGCAGAGGCCAGCTCACGAGTACAAGGATCAGACAAGTACACAGTATTTTTCCCATTTTCCTCACACGCACAGACTGCTGCTTCTACACGCATTAGTCTACCCTGTTGCATAGTAATAATTGTGACGCCTTAAATATAGCCCTCAAGTGGCAAAGGAACCTTGATCTGCTTTAAACCCAATGCTTGAAAAAGGAGTGAGTGCCTTTACCTATGAGTTTGCTTTAATCTGATTAGTCAGCTCATTTGTGACAGAGTTTCGTCTTAGTAAAGATGCGAACCATCATTATGGTGGGATCCCAAGAGAATTGCATTCAGTAGAAGCAGAGTATGGTGTGTTTAATCAGAAATTATGGACATCAAACATGTAGGGCGCATTTTTAGAAACACGTGAAGTACATTGACTGCACTTTGCTTTTACATTCAAAAATAGCATTAGGATAAGAAATCGCTCATTTTAACGTCACTGCACATTTTACTTATTTGCTTAAGACTGGTCAAAACCCGATCTTGAATGTGACGTGAAATCACATTTCAAGTCTGGTCAGTCGCAGAGCCTAGGTGTGGGTACTACCTGATCCAAGCAAGACCCATCTCACCTTGGATCCAATTCCACAATATATCAATTATACAGACCCTGATCTAGGGAACTAGACTGACCTATACCATATGCAACGAGAACCACATCGCTAACTGAACACGCTCCTTCCAGATGGCGCAACAGAGAATCACATATTACCTTCAAAGGTGGGAAATCAAGACCGATCATCGGAATCCATTTTATTTAAAGACAGCAACAATTACTGCTCAAAAGGCAGTAAAGGAATAACAATTGCGTGAATCGTTAACAATAATGAGCGAATAGAAGCGGTTAGCAAAGGAAAAATAATTTGAAGGGCTTAGGAGATACACTTTTATTTGGGCATCTAACCAGACCAGTCTTTAGGTTCATAGAATGGTCCCCACCCATGGAAACAGCGGCGGAATAAAAATGGCTCAGCATTTTTAGCTGTTAGCTTAAGTTGCCGAGGCCGTGATGGTTGAACTCGGGCCATGTGTTCCTTATACAATTTCGCAGCCTGTAGAGAAAGCTTCACCTCCACGTCAGACGTCTTTTTGCCTAGCCAGAGGTAGATCTGCTCACCATTGTCAAGCATCATAACGTCGTCGTTGACTAGATCGTCTTGACAGAAGTCGGCACATTTCTCTGAGGCGTGGAAGTACCCCGCGTCATTAGAGAGCCTGAAAAGGCGCGCGTATTGCATATAGTCGGCGGCCTTGTCATAATCGCCCTTGCCACCCAGTGCTGTCCAGAACAAATCAGGCTCTTCCCCTTCCAACAACATTTCAATCCTGGTGTTAGACTACAACGAGACCTCGTAATTATCCAGCCTCATGCATGCAACGACAGTTATCAAACAAACCTTGTCATAAATCTGATTGCAGATGGCCTGCAATATTTTCTTGTCATCCGGATGCGCCCATTTTCCTATCCAAATAAAGACTTGATCTGTACTGCTGTCTGTAATCCTCTTTGGAGTGCGTAAGATGTAGGAGAAGCATGAATTCAGCGTTTGCACAGTGGGCTTAACCTGTAATTGGATGGAATTCGATAATAAAGACAATGTTATTTGTGCTTTAAGAATGCCCAGTCTTGGTAAGTGAAGTGAAGTTGCGACGAAAATAAATCAAAGTAATAATGGACTGCAGTCCACTATCCAAGGCTGATTTAGTTGTACTGGCAAACCTTCTTACTTGAAAGGAATTTCAAAAAACGTCTATCACTTCTTGACATTAAACCATCGTTTTTGCACCATAAAAAATCCTTCGAATGACCTTTGCACAGTTCGACTTCAATAGATATGAAGGACCATTCTCCAAGTGGAGTGAAGCTGAACAAAGTCTGTGGATAGGACGGTAATAAATAAAAGAAAAAATGCGGACGGTGAAGCGCACACCTCAAGGCACCTGGTGGCAATAGGATCACCATTCATGCGAAGGTGGTAAAAGTGGACATGATCGAGACGCTGGATAGATTCGCGGTCGCGATAGCTGCCCGAATGAATAACCATTTTCCGGAGAAAGTGAGCAAGAAAGTAAATATCTTCCTGCTGCTGTTTCAAACGCTTAAACTCCACACTAAGCGGACGCCCATTAGCGTTGGGATTGCGCGAGAGACGCGACTCCATGTCTTTACGCAGAGAGAAGTTAAAAGTGAGCCAAGCGAGCTCAGACGCCTCACGACCCTGCCAAAAATAGACAACAGTTTTTGTAGGTTCCTCTTCATCTCCCTCCTCACCCTCTCCTCCTTCAAATTTATCCGACATGGCAGGTCCATCCTCGGCAGGTTTGGAGACATCCTCAGCGTCTGTTGAAAGCTCATTATCCTGGTAAAACGCAAGTGACAGAGGATGGGGATAAGTGTCAGCTAAAACGAGGCGAGCAGATACAGACCTTTCAGCTTATCTGTAAATTTTACACATGGGCCTAGTTAGTCAAGATGTTTGGTAATAACGAAATATCCAAACAAATACAACTCTTACGACTCCAGAAAGAACACCAGCAGATATCAGTTGCAATCTGACTACTGAGAAGGAAAACATCCATTTACAAAACTTAGCAATGCACTGTTGACACCAGGATCGACTCATCAAGGGAAATAACAATTAACTTTACCCAACTACATTAGCAAGCAATAAATGAGCATTTAATGAATCCGAGAAAGTGTGATAGGATCACCATTCATTGGGTAAATGTTTACCTAATTAGAACACAGTCTCACATGCAATTCAACCTAATTGTCAAATATTACACAATAAAGATTTGAATTATTTAATTCCGTTTACTACTGAATTGGCATTAAAATTTAGCAAATTTATAACTCATCCTGCTTGCGAATACAGAATTCGACAAAATGTAACCAACGTAGATAGTTCACTTAAAATTATTCAGCTTGGAAGCTAACTTGAGTGAGTTAAACCAAAGAGAAAGAAAATTGATAAAGAGAACAGAAATGACACATCAACAATTGTTCATTTGCATTTACTGTCATATCTTCAAATTGAAATTCTGCTACTATAGTAATTATATTCGCCCTCAGAGGAACGGTAAATTATCCCTCTATGATACAAAACTCACCCAGTAGCGAGCAATGACAATGTAAGAGTCCTTGTTAAAAAAGTGTCCAAACCATCTGGGTTCGACAGGCGCCCATTTGCGATCAAGAATAACGAATTGTTGAAGAGAGGGAGTGGGCGAGCCCTGGCTAAAGTTGGCGTCCAACTCGAGTGGTTCGATGAGTTCGTAGTTGAGGTCGTTCATCAGTTGGATTGCTTTGTCCCAGGATAGAGGTGTCTCGCGGGGCGCAATGAGGGCTCGAAGATCCGTTTTAATTTGATCGCGTTCCAAGATCACGCTAGGATCAGCGCCGCGAGCTGTCACCGACTGCGCAGTACGCGTGAAGTCTACTGCCATGGCGGGCTCCCAGCCAACAAACTGTGCACGGAATATCTACAATTGCAGCCGAACCCTATTCTCGATCTTTGTGAGATTAACGAACTGGCTCTCTTACAGGATGTATTTTAGAATCATCCAAATATTCTAAGCCAACTAAAAAACTGTTCACTTATTTTTTGGTACAAATTACTGCCCTCCCCGAGGAAGAATGTGAAATCTGTAATGACAGCCTGTAGCGGTGGCAAAAGGAACTCGAAGACACGATTCGAAAGCTATGCGGCGCAAATCCAAATGAGCAGAGCCACTAAAGCTAAATAAGTGTCTGCGTTTGCTCAATTAATCACTATACGAGGTGGGATGATTTATTTGATTTTGTTCTTTGAAATCTTACAAGGATTAAAGTACTCACCTGCCATTCTAAAGTTCGCATACGCGTTAATAAAGCAGTCTCTAAAAATTTACAACTATTGTGAGCAGCTATGACTAGCTTTACGAAAAGACAATTGAAAGAATAAGCCTTGATTGTTTAACAATTGATAACCAATCCCATAAATTGCTATACAACAAAAGATTCAAACCTAAAGAAGCCTTAATCTGATGAAGACTCCCGCCCGTGAGGTAGCAGCTAAATAGAGAATGTTCACTGCAGCTCAAGGATCCATATTCTGAGTAACGCAAAAACAGTCTTGGAGGTGAAGATGGGAATTATAATAAGACTAACCTCAGTCTCAGCACCTTCCGGACAGGGCTGTGGGGGAAGTCGTTTGTGTGCGGTGACCGTCTGTTCCACACTGCTATCCGCAACTATCTCATCGATGAGAGTGTCTTCGGCGCCACCAAAGCAACCACGTGGCATCATCTCAGTTAATTCTTCAGCCAACTTGAAACCCGCGTAACGTAAGAATCGAGCTGATTTCTTCCCCATCCACACAAACAACTCACCACCACTGTCCACCAAATACACGTTCTCAGAGTTCAATATGTCTCGTGTCAACTGACCCAGCGGTAGATCAACCTAAAGGGGGAAGGTGCACAAACAACACAACTTCCATTGTGTAAATCAACTAACAACCTTTGTTTATTTTGAACCAAAACTGTTAAAAGTACTTGTGGATCTCCAAAGAATGGACAACCATTTGCATTGGCACCCTAGCTCAAGGTGGAACACCCTGAAAGCAAGCGAGAGAAAATTCATCCAAAACAAACATTATGCCATTTAATTATGATTGATTGACCTGAGTTCGACTACCAATAATTACTTTCAAGGGAATAGCTATCGAAATTAATATTTATGTGGAGAAAACTCGAGCCTCCCAAAATTTAACCAATTGCATTTGGCGTAAATGGCATGAAGATCCACTTGAAGCAGTTGTACACTTTGGTAATGGGTTTATTTCCTGATTGGGATGCCCTTCTAACGCCCCAGAGGAGCCACTCAAACTGAACACCGAAAGTAAGATATTCATGGAAATTGGCCAGTTCTGGGACAACATCATGTAGACCTTTTTGACTCTCATGATTGATCCCAGCCTGGCGATTAAATGGAGCAATGCTATCCTATCGAAATCAAGGGTACTTGGACTATTGAAAGATACAGAAACCTAAATGGTTAAACATCTACTGATTACGGTAGTGAAAACTTACTTGTAGGAGCTCCAAGTACCCCTTGCCAAGTTTGACGTCATAGAGAATAGGTCGGGGGAGTTTCCAGTCTGCCGAGATGTAGTCACGAGCAGGTGGAGGGCGCTGAACATTAGTAGGGGGTTTGGGATGATCGACGATAGCTTGCACTGGTCTCTCTTCCTGATGCTCCACAGCTGGAGGGCGTGGAGCAGGTTTCCATAGCCCCATAATTACTGCCCAGAACTCTGTTGACTCGCGACCTTCGTGCTCCAGAGCGATGGTTGCCTCATTTAACCGCTCTTTCTGAGCTATCTTCTCTGCCAAAAGACGGCCTCGAGTCTGAATAAGGAGACGCGATCTCGAACCAAACCAAACATAGAGACAAGAGTCGCCATCAACCAGATACACAAACTTTGGATCCAGACTGGTGGGACTGACGGGCATTGACACTATGTGCATAGTCTTCTCTTGACCAAATAACCTATAAAAAGTGGTAAGTGTACAAACTTCCCCTCTAATCGAGTGAATTATCGGGGTAGCCTCAGTGTTTTCAAATCCAATCTCATATAATAAGGAATGTACCACTACTATCTCAGCTCTTCTATAGGTTTAAACATCAATCCCTTAAGCTTTATACCACCCAGAAATAAGCGTGATTTTCACTGACTAAATTTTACACTAAAAGGGTTGTGGTGTCATATTTCGACAAGTATCTCAATCCCAGGCTTAACACCATGACAGCAATGTAGGAGGAAAGAATAACAGTTGTGAGCGAATCAAAAACTCCCAAACAGCTACTTGTAAAGGGACCACGATCAACAGCTTATAATTATCAAAGCAAATGTCAATAAAAGGCAGTTATGCAGGGACGATTTTGATACAAAATCTAGACCAATGCTTAAATTCCTTAAGTAAATCACCTTCAATACAAGTGGAAAATACAGAAGACCATTTGTAGATTCTCTCGAGATTCCCAATACCCACAAACATTAATAAACGACACCCCTCGCACTATCTCTATCAATATTTCGTGGTCGATTGAAATACACTCTAAAGTTTAGCTGGCGAAAGATACTTACGACATGAAGCTCTTTAAATAGCGTTCAAAACAAAGGGAAACTTAGTTCCACAACACAGTTTCGTCAATTTCGCCAAGAAACTGATAGAGGAAAATAAGGGATAAGGAAAATGAGGGGGAAAAAGGACGAACCTGTACATGCGAACAACAGCCTCCTTACAGGCAACAATGTGAAATCCGGTGCTACCACTGGAACCTTCTAGAACAGTAATCTTATGACCCTGGAATAGGGAGAGGAAATCAGAGGACTCTTCCCCCTGTTCTTCACGCTGTGTCTGCCCGTCGATGCCAAGGAAGTTACGCAGGTTAACCGCATGCATAGCAACGCAGGCACGCTTGTCAAGGCTAGCCTTAGCACCAATCCAGTAGAAGATGCGCCACTCTCGACTACCAGTTGCTCCACCATCCTTCGGCACCTCAGTTACCTCGCGCGTCTGCAGGAGGATATAGCAGTCACCGGAGTACAGCTGACCCACATATTCCTCGTCCTCGGGTTCAAAACGCTTCGGGTAAAACTCGTCGATCACCCAGATCTCCACGCCTAATTGAGTGCCTGCGTCCTGGCCAGTAAAAGGTATCACTGCATTCGTTAACAATGAAAATCCAAGAGGTAGTTCAGTTCAATAGTATGGAGCTTGGTAACATCAACCGGTGACGCTCATCAGCGCATACAATATTAGGAAAAGTAGTGCGATTTCGTGGTGAAAAGGTAAGCGAAAATCTACAAAAGTCAATTATATTGACGAAGCAAGAAATAACGAAAAATACTTATAGAATTTTCTTCATTTTAATTCTACAATCTAAATAAACGGCAACATCTAGTGATGCATATAAGCAAACATTACCGAAAACAGTTGCGAGGCATTCAGCTAAGGGAAGGAAAGAAACGCGAGTAAAGGATACTGGTTGCAGAATAGCGTACAATACTTAATCAAATGAAGTATCCTTGACTAAAGGTATCAGTTAAGCCAACTAGCATCAGGTACGGATCCGGTTCTGTTGCACTGGGACACAACGGAAGCGCAGCGCTTGTATTACTTTGGATTTTATAAGCCCAAACTTTACTGAGGTAGGTCGGCAGTACGAATGATACGGTTTCAAAGTGCTGGCTTCGTTAATGATGATGGAAACTGGGGGCGTCGAGGTTACTAAGCTTTGGTTTGGAAAATCAGGAACGACAAGGAGAGCAAGCCAAATAATTAACTACATGATTTTTCGACTCCTCAAAAAAAACCATCCCAAAGGAAAGCATTATATGAAGAAGCATAAACCTATCAAAGAAATATCGATTGGCACAAAGGTCAGAAACGCCTAAGGGAGGTGCAGTTTTGACAAGCGGATGAGATGGTAAAGGAGAATGGACACTTCATATAAGGGAGTCAACAAATCGACTGGGCAGTTACTAGGCTTCTCACAAAGTGAATGAGTGAATAATCAGTTCAAACAGAAAGAGGAAAATAAAAAAACTCAAAAAAGACACTATGATATCGATAAACATTGTCGCTGTCGCACTCAAAACGATCAAAAATCATGAAGTGGATAACAAAATTTGGGAACATGGCCTCCGATGGTATTTGACTATGCAACATTGTCGATGATAGCAAGGAGTGAAGCGAATAGAAGCAGACTGAGTTGGACCTATCTGCGGTCAAGGAAGAAAAAGGCGATGGAAAGCAACCATTGCAACAAAAAAATGGAAATATCAAGATCTAGAACAGACTATTGAATAGCTGCAAGAAAGGAACTAACAGATTAAGAGTTTCGGAAATAATCAAGGTTGATTTAAATGAAAGATGCATGTTGAGTTACCCGAATCGTTCCAATCATATGGACATGAGGAAAAGTGGATACTACCTCGTCGAAGATATCACTGTAGTCGAGGTTGGGTTTGGTTAGAGCTTCCTTCCATCGTTTGGCGGCGACCTGCTTCTCATCCGCTTGAGCAGCTTCAGCATAGCGCCGACGCATGATAGCATCCTTCTCTCCAGCGATGTGGCGCATGCCTGCCAGCACCACCTGACTACCCTCTGCATTTTCGACTGCCGTTGCCACCGCATTCTCGCCTCCATCCAATCGACGCCGGCGCATCCGTTTCAGTCGCGCTGCAGATTCCTACGTCCATCACCAAAAGGTATTATAGGTTAACAGTGCAGCCATCAAGTTCCAAACAATATGCAGCACTAACCCTTTGAAAAAAAAAATCTTTTTTTACGACCTTTAATAATACCTTTTATGAGTTTAGTCAAAGCCACGAGATTATTTCACAGAAATGCAGAATTATTACTTCGAAACCCCCGACTGGTAAAGGTGTAGTAGCTGCGTTTGTTACTTATCTGTACATTTTACATTTTGAAGCGCTTTTTTAAACATCTCCCGTTAAGTTCCCAAAAGAACTGTATAGAGCATCAAATTATGCAATTTTGTTTCATATAGCTCTTCCGTATCATCAGCATAAAGCTAGCGTGATTAAAAAACTGAAATAGCTACTTTGCGGTCGTACCGAAGAACAAAATTGAAATAGTTTCCGGATGATATTTCGTTTAACGTCCCGTCGGGATTGAAAAAAACAGAACTTATAATGCAACCAACATTAAAAAACAGCCTAGTTAACCGCACTACATTCAAAAGTTGTGGATGACGTTCCTCAGGAAACTGATTATTCTTACCTTAATCAACATTGGAAAATTACTGTCGGGCTAAAGCCGAACAAATACCAATAACCTAGTGGTTCCAATATACTCGCCTGAAAATCAGGAAAGGAACCGAATAAATATTTAAAACGAACTTTGCCCTTTTTGACGTCTTCACTGGGTTCAGGAGAAATTCCACGCATCATCTGCAGCTGGCCATCCAGAGAAAAGTCAATATTGTAGAAGGCCAGGCCCGCACCCTTCTGCAGAGCCGGTGGTTTAGGTGGAAATCGCAGCTTGGGATTGTTTTCCACATCGAACTTCTCCAAGTTCTCAATCAAAAAGTGGATTGCATCAGGGAGGGTTTCCAATTCGTTGTTTGACAATATGAGGCGTTTTAGTCGACCACAGCGACACAGGCCTAAAAGTGACAACAGCGGCAACTGGCAGGAGCTTTTGCATAAAGCCAAGCTAAGATTAATGAGCTAAGATGAAAAGCAAGGGAGCCTGAAAAGGAATGGCTCGAAGTGAGGAAGGAAGAAAAAGCCACAGAGGACTACTTACTGAATGGATAATGGTCCCAAACGTGGTGGAAGAAACTAGTTAATATGCACTCTCAAAGGAGCAAAAAAGACTCCATCATGGAATGCACCGAACGCACCAAAACAAGTTAATAATTCCCAAAAAAAAAAAATTATGATAAATCTGTCAAGAAGAGAAAAACATACCTTCGGGGATGTTTTCAAGTTTGTTGTTTGAGGCGTTGAGAACCTCAAGGTCGTTGAGTTTGGCCATGCCAGAAGGCAGACCAGAAAATGTCAGCTGGTTGTCGTTGAGATAGAGCTTGCGCAACTTAGTGAGGCGCGTGAGTCCTGAGGGGATGCTGACAAGTTGGTTGTGGCTCAGATTGAGATACTCCAGCGATGGCCAATTATCGGTCAGAGCTGACAGCTCACTGATCTCGTTGTAACTCAGATCCAACTTCCGCAGGGCGCGCAAATCAAATACAGGCTCAGGCACGCCTACCAATTGGTTGTGCGAGAGATCCAGGTCTGCCAACTTCGTTAACCGATCCAACTCTTTCGGTATATTATCCAGGCGCCTCTGCGTGCCTGACATATGTAGAACCTACGCACATGCAAACAGCTCGTATATTAAACAGCTAAATTACATGAAATTTATGCATTTCCATTTCCGATAAGTTCAATTTTACAGTGGTGCACGTGAGATCTCAGTAGTTGCCACTTGTCGTTGATTCATCAAATTTTGATGAGTTATAATTACACATGCTTTCCTCCCCTATGCAAATTTCCCCACACGTTTCAATGCCCTTCTATGTGCATAAATGATGCTCTTAGCCATTTTTTAGCCCATAGGAATGTGAAACTCACGCTTTCGAATAAACAAAAGCATCCACAAAGATGTTAGCTATTCCTACCAGTAGGTCACAGTTAAAGAATGGAATTTACTATTTCACGGGTGCGATCCCCTTTAATAAAATAGAAGCTCGTTTAGTTACAAGGAACGAATACGAAATATGAACATCAGGGATGATGGACAAGGGGAACAGAAATTCACGAGTTCATGATGACCAAGACGAAAGCAAAGAAATCGAAGATTGACTCACCTCGAGATTCTTTATAGCTACAATGGTGCGCGGTTGGTAGTGCTGAAAGGGGTTCCGATTAAGAATGAGCTGCTGGAGGGAGGAACAGCGACGAAGCTGCGCGGGTAAAACCGTGAGACAGTTGTCAGAAAGATCAAGCAACATTAGTTCAGTGCACTCGGTGAATATCTCAGCTGGCACTGATGACAGCTGATTATCACTGAGGTTGAGCACTAAAAGCCCTGAAGCGTTTTCAATACCTCGAGGAACTTGGGTTAACTGGTTGCAACTGAAGTCAACAACCTGGAGGTCGGGGCAAGTAAAGATGTCAGGCGGGATGGCATCGTTACTGACAAGTTGGTTTTTCCTACAGTTAAGGACGCGAAGATGAGGAAAGACCTTAGGCCAGTCCGTGATGGAGGTGAGCCGAGTGAGTTTGTTTTTTGCTAAGGAGAGGTATTCCAACCGGTTGAGGTACTTAAGCTCACTGGGGAGGTCGGAGTTGGTGAGCCGGGAGTTTCGCAACTTGAGCCACTCTAGGCGGGCCATCTTCTCCAAGGGATGAGTACAGGGTAGCACTGCAGAGGCCGCGGACACGAAAGCTCGGTTCTTGCTGCGACGTGGCACGCCATCAGAGGACTGTGCGGCCACATGCTCACCCACTGAGCCGAAATTCACGCCAGAAAGGTCGAGACCCCGCAGGAACTGGGTCACAGATTTAGTACCTGCGGCTGACATCTGTGTTACTCAATTATGGCGATACACGAGCTTTGAGAGCTTGAAGGTGTGACTTAAAAGACACCAATGCACCAGAATCAATACAATGCGGCAAACAGCTTTCTCCACACAGACAATAAGAGGACTCACCTGAATGCGTTGCAAGTGAGATTCTATAACGTGAAGGCGCAAATTTGCAGTGGATATTTTTTTGGTATGCTGTTGAAGGTCGATAGGAGGAATAATCTGATCTAGTACGTGTGTAAACTCTAAAAGTTAAAAGAAATCCCGAGGGTTGATTCTCACTCCGAGCGTAAAAGTGGATAGGTTATTATGAGTTGGTAATGTGTTACGCAACCCAATCCAAAAGCACTTACATTTATTTCCATTATAGCGCATGTAGCATTAACCAATAATAACGCATTTAAGACTAAACGTTCTCCTTTTCTAACAATGCAAACCAGCTAAACCATTCTCAATAGCTCATTTACAGACTTTCCTTAGTGTTAGAATGATTTAGTGGAAGATTGGCCAATCCAAAGTCCATACGCCTAAAACAGCTTTTCTTCTCCTGTCACCTTAGCATAACATCAAATATGAAAATCCATTGCCAATCTAACAAACGCCGTATTTTTTATCTTATTTTATTTGCTATTTTTCAAGTAATTGCTATACGAATACTCTTCAGCTTGCCCACACCCTAAAAAATTGGTTGTTTTAGCCGGAGGGTAAAAACAAGTCCACTATACATGCACGCTTCCCGAACGAACGCCGATTACCAAATTTATCTAATCGGGTTGTCAGAGCCACAGTAAGCGGCTTATAAACCTTCAATTTTGGTTTTTCAGCCCAGTTATGTGAAAATAGAATACGTTAAGGAAAGTGAAAAAAGGCGAACCTTGAGAGATTTCCTCGAGTAAGAGCCTCAGTTTTCCTTGAGTGAGCAAGTAGGCGGCAACGGTGCTGTCGAGTAACTGGATATTGGGTTTGAAAAGATCCACAAAGTATTGGGCGGTGAGGGATGGAATGAGCAACTGGGCGTCCGGGGAAGCTGGTCCAGAAGACAGATCGAGGCTACTCTCCTCACTGGATGCTGAGGAAGTGGAAAGACCGTGTATCTGGATATGGTTGGTACCCTGGTGCAGGGTGTACCTGTCTCCGTTAACGCCACTGATTCCTGCTGTGTCGAGGTTATCCTTGGAACTGCACTCTCGGAGATCAGCCAGTTTTAAGGCAATTGGGGAATAGCTGTCAAGCTTCTACTGTCTAAATCATTAGCAGCAAACGATTCAACCAACTACTAAAGCGATAGTCATAGGTGCTAATTTTCATAATAAAATTGCACACTGATTCAAAACAAAACCAAAACATATAGTGAGTAGCTTTGATGCTCCCCAAAACTATTTTAAGTAAACCTATGGAAAGTCGAAAAATTCATAAATAGATGATGTGAACAAAGTACAGTATTGATCAACACAACCCCATGACCGAGTAAATTAGCGAATGCAAAATGCATTATTCTCACCTCCAACTCGAGTAGCGCCAACTATGATTTGTTTTGTCAAAAACCTACGTTAATCCGTTTCATACAGACCTAATTAAACCCTGCAACCCTGCACTCGCTAATTCACCGCTCTTAAAAAATCAGACTGAGGTCGAGGATGAAAAAACCAAAGAACAAGAGTGAAATTTCTATATTAGTATGAACAATTAAATCTCCATAACTAGAGCAAAAAATGCTATTTTGAATTCACGTACCAAATGAGCACAAAGAACCACATTTTAAGTGCAATCGCGATTTTACTAGCGCCATGAAACGAACAAGTTAGAGGATTACAAAACCTGTTTGCAAAGGCAATCACATTTGATGAATGTCTAAGCCAGATCGATGAAGAAAACGATGACCATGTGAGTAAAACACCAAGTCGTCATAAAAATGAGCAGCTTACCTTGCAACCAAGCCAACTGCACACTGCATGCCAGAAGAGGCAACATTGTTCAAGGAGACATTTTAATCAACAAAAAACAATGCTGTGTGAAGAGGGGAGAAATGACGTGGCATGAGTGACGATATGCTGAACTCGTGGGCGCACGTGACTACAACTTGGTAGCGGAAAAAATGCATAAAGCAGTAGCAATGAGAAATTCTGGGGCATGGTACGGATAAACAAGTGAGTTCGGGAGAGGGTCAAGATATACAACTGCTTTACAGGTAAAATGCAATGACGCAAGAAAACGGGGAGGGTCCACAACATTGACGCCTGTGTACATCAGACTAGCTGCAGGAGGATGAAAGACTAGAACTTCACTTCTTTTAGTTGATAAGGCTAAAAAGTAAAATTAAAATTTCGCGAAATACTGGTACAGATAGCCAGGTACAAGGCCGCATCAAAAGGAAATGAAAAACCAGGAAAGGCAGTAAAGTCGAACCTCTTAGAAGTCCGTGACAGTGACATCAGCGTCCTCGTCGAATTGCTCATCAATTTCATCACGAAGAGCGTCGCTATGTTGGCAACTTAACGACTTTGATGCTGGCCGAAGCAATGATGATGCACACGTGACAATTTTGTGTTGTCGATTTACATCGTCACGCTTCAGTTGGGCCGAAAGGAGATCGTTGATAGCACGAATCCACTGAGTACACACCTGCAAGTTGCTCGGCTGGAATATGTACAGCTGCGCCCGACATGCCGTCCATACTGCAAACCGACGTCGGTCTTCCTGAACACTTGGCATCAAACCCACTTCCGAGAGCTGACCAGAAAACAAAAAACGTTGATAATTTTGGCACCCAATGTTTCATCGTTTGGCGAATGCTTGGGCACAACGTTGGAATTGAAACCATTGTCATAAGCTACTTCAAGAGACTATAATTCTAAGTTTAGCAAGTTTTAATGATGGTAAAAACCATTATCGACAGCTTTACAGCTTATAGCCACTGCTTATGAGAAATTACAATGTAGCAATAAAAAATGATGCCTGAGTCATTGCAAAGGAAAACCGGGTCGTGCATTGTGATATGAGATAACCACTCCTCTGGTAGTTTTACGGTATATTGAAGTTGCACTTCCAGCTATTCAATAACGATCTGTTGTAATGCGGGAAAGTCCCGCTTCACAGTGCAATGCACTAGATGATAACTAGTTTCAGTTAAAGGGGCTTAAAACAGAAGTACATCAGAAGTTCTTTTTGAAACAAGCAAAATATCGGTATCGAGAAAATTTTGCAAATAATGTTCGTGAAAGAGAATGAAGGAGGTAAGAGCTTGAAAATAGGAATTCAATACAATTACAAATGATAAATGCTAATCCTTCACAATAACGTCAACTCATGAGTACCAAATTTATAGCCAATTTCAAGTAATTTTCAGCGTAATTAGCAACCTATCGGTAAAGATGACAGCGGATGTAAATGGAATAACGATAGTAAAGGACGAGTGAATTAAAGAAATGAAGGTAAGATCCTGTGCACGTCTATGATTCTAAAGCCCAAAATAGTCTTAAGACGGAGAACTAACTTTGATCTCCATCTTAATCTCGTAGGTGGGTTTTTGAGAGGAAGCATCAATGGGAATGGGTGGAAGGGCGGGGAGTTGACTGTCGTTTTCATTCACACAACTTCCCATTTCTTCGGCATTAAAGTCAGTGGCTGCAGAGGTGAGAGACTGATTGCTAGAGGTGCCGCTGCTGCTGAGAGTGGCGAGCATAGTTGAGACCAGGGAATTGTTGACCTGACGCAGTTTGGTCAGGAGGATGGCGTTTTCAAAGAGAAGGACGTAACGCTGATGCTTATTGTTTCGGCCTTCCCCGCACCATACTGTAAAGTTGTCGTGCAACAGTAGGCGACCCAGACGGGAGGGATGGTCCTAAAAAGGAATTCAGAGAAAACGAGGTACTCTTAATAAAAAGATAGACTAATGGTAAGTCGCCTTTGAATCAAAACGAGATAGTTTCTTTCTTTCTTTCTGGTAAGCTGTTACTTAAAATCGAATCCGTTGAGATCAATTTTGCTATTGACTTACCGCTAACCAGGGATAAAATGAATGGGATACAGAAAGGCAAAGCTGACAAAATTATGTAAAAAAAACTAAAAAATACTAATTCCATCTGCGACCACAAATGCTGTAGAGCTAGCGCGTAAACGAGAATACAATGGTTTTGAAGCAGTATAACTAGGCATGAATCAGAGAGAGAATTACAGACATAGGGATGCATATGCGATATTGGCGAGGAACGAAGTCTTATAGAGAACAAGATGTTAAAAGATGGATGATTACAGAGGAAAGAAATGCGTGAATTTTAAGGAAGAGATCTTACGGAAAGACCGCGGATTCGCATGAGAACATTCACAGTGTTGCACATGTCAAGCATGGACTGATGTGCCTTCGTCAATGCCTCCCTAAAAATCGGCATGAACGAGTTGAATGAATTGATGTCTCCATCAACACTCATGTGTGTGCAGATAGAGCTTACTTCTGAGGCCCTTCAGGCGCGTAATTTTTAAGTCGATCAATCAGGAGGTGGTAGCGCTGGAATCGTTGAGCGGGCTCCAGGAGACGTGAGCTGTAAGGAAGGAGGGGTCGACAAAGGGAGGTGGATTTGATCACCTCACCGCATAAGTTCTTTTGTGTTGGGGGTAAGTTCTCCTCGTTCTCGTCAGTCGCAACACTAACGCCGCCTCCGCCACCGTCGTCATCACTACCAAGAAGGAGCTGATCCCCGAAGTTAATACAGGAACTGACGCGGTTCAGGCTAGCGACTTCACCCAAACTCTCCTCAACTATTGTGTCCTCTTCCCCTTTTGCTTGCTTGCTCCTAAAGTTTTTTGCCTCAAGGAGATTCAGATACTGATTGTAGGCGGAGATCCATTGAGAATGGAATTGGTCCTTCTCAAGTGCAGCTGCGTATTGCGTAGCACGTTCATAATTTAGGCAGTAGTTGGTGTACAGATCCACCAGACTGGCCCACTGCAAAAAAGGACACAAATAATTAACTAACTGACTGACTTAACTAACGACACAAGCATAGTGCTTTAGGAATCATGGGGTTAGTAATTTGAGTGATGTAGACAGACCACGAAACAGGTCGTCCATGATACTGCTTACAAAACGCGCCAAGACAAGTGTGTCATACTGTCGTAGACATGCCTTATTTTTGATTTCGCTACCAAGTGATCAGCCATGAACTTGTTGCTTGATTAAGCTACTTAATAGATAAATAGACAGGAGTTTTGATAGTGTTGATAGCTTGTTGAAGGCAGATATCACTTCACGCACAATACTTAATAGTGTTGTTCACGAGTTACCGGTCACTGAGTTGCATACAGATTTCGGCGTTTTCTGATAGAAAGCGACTTGCCACTCAAATGTCTATTCAAAGGGTTGAATACGTTTAAGCGTATCGGGTCCATGTCATGTACAAGTTTCCGGTGCACTACAAGGTGCGAAAGCCCTTTGCCGCAAAGTACAGGGCAGCTTGAATCCGTACAATATCCCGAGGACGAGACAGCGCATAAAAGTAAGCGGGTAAACAGGTCTCCTCGTACCTGATTCACAAATTCACCTTCACTCAGAAGGGCGAACTCTATGCAGAGCAGTGTATGTATGTACAAGGCAACAATATGTAAATGAATATGACTAAGCTATTCCATAGATTGGAAGTGGAGTTTGGGAGCTGACGCGTGCCATGCTAGTGCCTAGACAAAAAATGTATGCGAAATTTCGGCGAAAGCAGTTTCGCGACCTTACTCTTTTTGGTAGTCATCTACTCCAACAAAGATCTACCCAATTTCTCTCAACTGGTGTAAACGAATACGCAAATATTTTCAGAATTTCGCTAAAATGCATAAGTATGTTAAAAAGCCTTAGTAGCGAATTCTTACCGAAGATTCTGCCCATTGTTGAATTAGTAAGGGGTCCCCATCACAAGCCAGGAGTTCAGGATAAAAATGACTGAAAGAAAACGTTTAATGGCATGAGAAAAAATGATCAGTAAACTTTCCTTACACATGCATTAGAACTACATGCTAGTGCTATCAGAAGCAAAAAAACCCTTCCGTAGCAATCTTTTCTTCCTCAATAGTGTCTGATTTCCTAGTCAAAGTAAGGTTAAATAAAGAATAAATCGAATTAAAGAGCAAGAGTTCCACAAAAATAACTCAAATACATGAAAACCCTGGTACATGGCTTCTGAACAACAACATTATAATCTAGAACGAGCCAGATTGTATAAAACTAAGTAGAAATTCACTTTTTATGGAAGATAAGTTGATCGGGGAGGTTTACAATGAGAAGAGATGGATTGTCCCTGACAAAGGCGGGCAAACGAGGCAGTGCAGGGATGTCTAGGCTTCCTGAGAAGGCTTGCGTGGCCGCTTCAAGGAACCTGATATGATTGCCTTCAGTGATGAGCAGTTCCTGGAGGGCCCTTTGGTAGAGTTTCTCATTATTTTGCTGGAATTCAAGTGCTACCGACGGCTGTTCCCAAGTCTTGCGAAATTAAAACAGACGTTCAGGATGGCCAAATCACACTGAATAAATATGGATAAAAAACCTTCAAACGTGGATTATAACATTATCGGGGCTAGTGAACTGGAAATAAACATACAAATGAGCAGTGACAACAAAATTGTTTGAGGGACAGAGGTAGGGATACTTTTAACAACTAGTAGTAGCGACGCAAACTCAAGGCAGTCTGCGCAAAAATGCGCATGAAGTGTGGCTGACAGGAAACGCCGCATTGTCGGTGAGTCAGCGAAGGGTTCAAATGATTTCCCATGCAAGGGACAGGCTGAAGACAGATAGCACAAATGAGCAATAAGACGAGCTAAAGTATCTGTCGAACCAAGGCTCATACATGGTTTGCTTTTTTGTACTAAACGCATACAACATTAACAAACACGATTTATTTTCTGACTAGCAAAATGTAAGTCATAAGTTTTGAAAACATGTGGAATACAAACGATCGCTTGTTCCCATAGATGAGTTTAAAACAGCACAATGTTTGCAGCAAGCTTTGCAAACTAAATAAAGTCATCCCAACCTTTGGAAAACAGCACCCTGATTCTATAAAGATGGGACACTTTTGTTTCGTAAGTGCATAATGGTTCCACAACTTCAAAGCTAATAGGATAAGTGTGCCTAGAACTTTGGTGGCAGAAATGAAGTGATAACTCATTCAGCAAAAAGCCATAGACCATTGGCCCAGCAAGCCTTTCAAAAAGGACTAGAGCCCACAGCCTGACATTAATACCTTGACGTATTGGTGAGATGCTTTGGGGGATGACCAACGAGTAGCAAAGGGGGCATTGAAGGTGCGTGCATGTGGGTCGCCGAAGTGCGTTAGTAAAAGCTTTCATTAACGAGCAGCCATGACCCTTTTTGATACGATAAATCATCCGCATCATGGGAAGATCATGAAATGAGCATGTTTGAAATAAACATTGGAGTTGAAATTAAAGAATGTCAAATTGTTTAACGAAGACAGGCAGTCATTAAATGCATGTGATTACATATCCTAGCAATCAGATAGATTGGAAACAACAGATTCAGGAATACAATTCAAGACCATATAACAACCTGTCCCAGAATATTAAAATTCAATGATAATTTGAATCCAGTGCTTTGATTCAAAAGGCATCAAAACAGGCCTTGAAACACACAGGCACGCTACGGCAAGGTGTGTCGAAGGTTAGTTAGTAATAAAAAACACCATGTGTGAAGATGAATCTTGTCAGCTTGCCATATACCTCTACTTCGGAGGAGGCCTGGTCCCGAGTGAGGGATGCTTGCTTAGGAAGACGAGCGGCTGAGTTCTGGTGACCGAGGGGCTGATGTAGTTGCACCTGAAGCTGTTGTTGAGATGAAGGCAGAGGTTTAATAGGGTAAGCTGTGCGTGAGATTTGTTGTCGCAGTTTCGAAACGGTGAGTTTGAGAGCCTGCTCGACCTCCTCCACCAAGCGGAGCATTTGACTCAATTCAACCTAAATCCAATAAAGGAAATTATTAAATGATGAGGGTCGTTTACCTAGTTTCAGGTGACGGTAATTCATTTTAGAACAAATTGTCACCTGACCGACCGGGGCCTAAGTAGCTGGTTACCTGTTCACTTAAAAGGTGAAATCTTATTCGGAGGGGAATGGGATATGCGGTCATGGCGGCCATTCAAAAAACGTGAAGGGATGGAAAAAGGGTATAGAAGGGGAGATTAAAACAGCTTACAACAAAGTTATGAAAGGAGGGAAAGGATTAGTGTTCTACGATGAGGTAGTAAATGATTGAGCCAAAAATGAAAATCACAGTGGTGACTAAGCAACCGCCAAAACGGGAACAATCAGTCCAGTCATATCGGCGATCTTTGCGATGAGGTGATTAAAACTACCCTAACAAACATCTATGAATAACAGCTCGGTAAAAAAGCCCAAGAAAACAGAGAATGGCAAAAGGACGTGAAAGATGTGATTGAGCGTGCCAACTTGATACACGCATCACAGTGAGCAAGAACGAAGAAACAGAAAGTTCAGGTTTTTTCATTCAACTATTATCTTAACTGTCACAAACAATCAGCAACAGATCTTGAAGTCATAACAAAATCTTTTAAAGGGTGAAATCGAGGTATCTTTGATTGTGTCTTTATTCATTACTACCACCTTCCTTAAATGCAAATAAATCGCCGATAGTTTAGCCAGTGTCACCTTAAACATACATCTGAAATGATAGTAACACTTTCTGATGAATATTAAATAATAAACTTACGAGCAGGCTAAATATAGGGTAATAAGCTAGAAATTTTCCTCGCTTGAACCTGGAAGTCTACATAATAGTCGAAATTAACCTTTAAAAATATCTAAAAGTAGGCAAGTTACCAAGCAAAAGAGAGACGAACATAAGAAACTTTTCATTATCGACTGTAAAAAGGCATTTCTTACATTCTATGACCAATACGTGCATATGCATGCCCAAAGAAAACAGGTCACTATGCGGTAATTCGCAGAGCACGATTGACAAACCTTCATTTCAGCGTTAAGTAAATCCGCGAACTGTTTTCTGAATTGGACCGGATCACCCTTGAGAACGAGGTTCTGTTCTCTTAAATCACGAAATACATTCAACTGCCTAATTGCCTCCTCACAAGCCATCGGATCCATCTCTGCCACGTTTTCTGCTGTCAGCGGATTAAGAAGGCTGTTTCCTCTTGATATCCACTGGCGAGCCTGAAAGGCAGTTAATTTCAGGTACCAGCACGAGTAAACGGGGAAAGCTCATTTTTAAGAGGCATTTTAAACATTAAAAGTGTAAAAGACCTAGCCCTACGGCCTGACAAAATAAAAGCAGTTGGCTTAAGCTCCAATAGGCGAAGCAGGCAGGCGTCTGCATTGACCGCGGAAGAACCTGACCGCGTCACCATTAACATCTGCGTAGTTTAAAACATCTTACCTCATTAATTTCAGTGTAGAGTTGAACAAGGCGGTCCAGTTGGCTGACAGCTTTGTCAAGGCTCGTGCAGGCCATGACCTCAAGCTGACGCAGACTAACAATGCGGGCTGTTACGTATTCGGGAATGAGACAAGCCAAAGGGAGAGACGTAGGAGAGGACTCAATAGTTTCCTCATTTGTGATTGCCACTAAAAGTCCATCATGGTCTTGAGCCACACTCGCCTCTGGTTTTTCATTGGCACCCTCTATTTCTCTTCCATCTCTGAACTCATATTCACATTCTTCATCCTCTCCTTCATCTCCATCCATCAGTGGATCAACTTGACGACCGCTAACTGTAGATGAGTAATGAAATGCTAAAAAAGCTAGCCACAAAATAGGAGATCGCAACACTGCCAACTCACGGGCAAGACGAGCGAGAACACTGTTAGAACTGGTGATACTCATCCTCTTATCGATCTGTCTGTCAGTGCCAGAGGAAACACAAGAGCTGGCAGCAGCGACGGTTTCGTCCCTAATGGTCTCTCCGATAGCAATAAGATCAATGATCTCACCAAGCACAGAAACTCCGGAAGCTTGAGCCTCTTTACCGCGAGTCTGGATTGTCAAGAGGCCCTCCATTGAATCCTCTGCAACAGTAGTTAGCCTTGCAGCAGAAATGGCAGTAGTGGAGGCGGAAAAGAGAATAGATGGGTCGCTAGTCAATCTCTCCTCTTCGCCCGCCATTACCACGGCCGAGTCAGTGTCCTCAGCGGTGTTGAAGGGGCCGTGCAATGAAGAATCGCTAAAGGTGGTGGCGGGGAGGAGTTGGGACCCTGGATGACCAGGGAGGTAATAGGAGACTGACTCGATCAGTGATTGCCACAATCCCAAAAGGGGATGCAACTAGGGTTGAAAGGCAAGAAAATTCGCCAATGTTTGGAACGTCGAGGTGACAAAATGCGGCAAGCGTTTCAAAAAACCTATGTGAGAAGGGACCAAGGTCCGAATTGTTTTTTAGAAAAGCTATAGTTTGCACCAATAGAGTCCAGAGTTTAACAAGTCCGTCAAAAAATATAGAGCTAGTCAAAGTTGAGATTAAAAATAACAGCATGTTTCGGCTCAATGCTGTAAGTAAAACCACAATAACGCGAGTGGAATTACAGGATTAACTGGCGAGTGTATTTTGCCCAAATTATTATTCCGAAGAACAATGAAGTGATTCAACGAGGCGCCGTTCAAGCGCATCAATATTTAAGCGACTAAAGAAAAAGAGCCTTCAAAGAACTTGTATTTACGGTACATTGTTGCTTTGTAATTAAGTAAACATACATGTAAGTTTGAATAAAGCTTTATAACATACATGCCGCAGAAGCACAATGTGGATAAAAAATGTTGAACTTTGACAAAGATTAGAAGGTTATGGAAGGAATGGGCACGATTAAATAGGGCACCGATTTAGTGCATGGGAAATCTCATCATTAAATGGACAGGACTAGGGTGTCTTTGGCAGTGTGATGCGCTCGAGTATTCATTTGCAAATCTAATTAGGCATTGGCAATACCCAAGGGCTTTTCATAAAGCTAGGCCAAAATATTGTAAAAGAATGAAGCGATAGAAAGCGTCAAAATAATCTTTCAAAACCACGCATTAAATTAAAGACAGTGAATGCTACTGTGAGACTTTATGGAATAAAACGGCACATTGAATGGACACAGCAATGTTGCTGAAGCTTAGCAAAATCGTGGATAAAATGTCACCATAACAAGACGAAAATCTTCAAAATATGAAGCCAATGATAAAATTGTCTCAGAAATAGATTTAGGCAATCTAGCCACGAAACCCATCCAGATCGTCACAGTCTTATAGTAGCACAAATGCCTTACTGCCATAAAGGTAGAGCAGGGTTTTGAAGGTATGGAGGAGAATTGATAAGATTAATCGTACTACCTTATCTATAAAGAGTAAAAGGTAGGAATAATAAAAATCAACCCTTAACTTAAATGCAAGGGTACCAGGAATTGGCGCTGATTCTCGTATTGGCAGACAAGTGAAAGCAAATTGATTAAAGGTTCTTTTAGATACATTTAAATTGGTTTTAACTGATGAAAAGAGCAATCAAGGGGAACCATCAATTCCTTGTTAACAGATGATTAGGGCATAAATCGAGTTAATAAAGAAGACTCCTCATCCGTACTGACACAGAAGAAACGTGCAGAGAGTGTCACGAAATCTGCAAATCCAAAGCAAATGATTGCCACATACATATACACATATCTTCTTACCGAAAACTACGTGAATTACACGTAAATTCATTAAAACCACTCGTTTAGGAAACGAACAACCCGATGGCCTAACTCGCTGATAATGACACAAATTAAGAACATTATTCTTCACACAAAGAATCAATTGCGCGATTATGAATACCAAATTACGATAACACAAGGGAAGAGATACTCAGTTACATTATAATGTTGATAAGGGAGGCATTATTTACGCATCAAAGCTAAAGCCTAGTGAAGAGTTATATCTTCGGTGTGAACGTATATATGGGCCACAAATGAGCATATAATAAATTGCTAGAAGCAGGACATCTTCAAAAACAATCATAACACATCTAGCAGCTAAATACTGAAACGCAAATCAAATTTGAATCGAAGGAAATTAGAGCAGAAGTGATGAAAAGTTGCAGAGAATAGAATTTCATGAACGCTAAATAGTGACAAAATAACAGGACAAGAGCTCGGGCGACGCATCAGAGAAAGTTAAGAGAGCAGATAAACAGCTGGACCCGAGTCACTAAAGCCTTGTGAGCTGATGACCCGCCTACCTGATGCAGTTGATAGAGCAGCAAACGACAATGTCATGAAATCCATTCAAGGTATTCATAAAGGACCAATAGAAGTACGAAAGACTATATCCTGTAAGATGGCATTGCAGCAATACAATAATAACCGCATAAAACTTAAAAATAGCACTTTGCAATTTTGATCAAACTAACTGCAGGTAAATTTGCGAACCCAGTGATCGTCAAAGACAAGATAATTCAATTCCGAATAGTGTTATCATAACTAACGCACAATTAATTGATAAATAATGCATTAAGGAAGCAAACGCAATATCATAATTTGGAGAATATATACGTGTTCACACTTACGATTCAGTAAATACAAGATGCGAGCATCTAGCATAAGGTCAAAGTTATTCGAAACTCATGACCTCAAGTGTACAGATTTAGAAATGTACGATTTTCCAGGAAAACTCATCAAACCAGCTACAAAGCGAAATGCGGTTTGCATTCTATATCAAATCAAAAGTATTAACCCGAAAAGCGAGCCTTTGAGAATATATTAGGTTTTATAATAGTTATGCTGAATTATGTCAACAAATAACGAAGTTGAAGCCCATAGGAGATCAATAAAAATTAACAAAAAAAACAGTTGATAAGATTATTCATTTGCAAAAAAAGCGCATAACACTGATAATGATTTGAGCTACTCTTAGCTTAGAACAAAAAAAAACCGAGCCTGAATAGACAACAAAATAAAAACAAATTCAAGACCATGTTCGTAAAGGAGAGATTCACCTTCCTGTACCGATCTTCAAATTCTTCTAGCGTTTTCAAATTCTGCAATCCGTGAGTGTATCGAGTCCAAAATTTCCGCAATTTGGATCTTGTCTCCGACAACTGGATAATATATTGCTCAACAAGGATGATCTGGGTCGACCGATCCACGGGTAGATCCAGTGAGCTAACCACCTCTTCACATTTACTTCTATTAAGGTTGTCACCATCACCATCCTCATCTTCCGAGTTGCTGATGGTGGAGGCAACGCCGTCCACCTCCCTCAGCCGCTTACGCAAATCCACGCCTCGTGACTCACAAACGGAGAGGCGCCGCAGCAATATCCTTCGCCGGCGATGCAGCGTTTCCACACGTTCATGATCTAACTTGAAGGTGCTGAGATCGCGAGGAATATAAGCGAGGGACTGCAGCTGCGAGATGTCGTCCACGAAAGTCTGGATCTCGCGGCCCAACACATTAGCCGCACTCTGAAATGCCTCGATCTCCTGAAGAAAGAGGGAATTGGCGGTGAGACGAGAAAGAAGGAGGCCATGGGTATACTGCTCCTGTCTTCGGCCTCGACTTCGTCTTGCTGGCGCAGTTCGCAGCGTCGCCATTCTACACGCACACGATCGAGGTTATGACAGCCCTCTGGCTCACACGCGTGCACACACATTTCAGGCACGCTGCGCATGAAGGCACGCACCATCGATTCTACAACCATTCACGTTGCGCACGCAAGCTAAGGAACCACGATTACTGCTAACACATGTACGCACGCACGTGCACACACGCACAGCGCGCGCAGGCACACACACGACATTACATAATCTGAATTCGAGAATGCCATGAGACCGTATTACTTGGCAGCATCATTGACGGCACATCGTCTCAAATTCGTTAGGATACTGATGTACATTTAAAAGCGATGTTAAACTGCTATGGTTTGCGGTTTTTGGTAAGCGCTAGATGAAAAACTATTTGATTGGAAAATAAATCGATTCACCCGCGTCGTTATAAAACTCACCTTTCAAGCAACATTTGCAATATAAAGATGGCTTTTTGGACCCAGAAAACAAACTGCAGATTTCCGGTTAACAATAGGTGTCTGTTAACGTCTTTGAAGAAGTGACTCACTTAAAAGGTACACCATTGAGCAAAGCACTGAGAGCATATTGAAAGCACGAAGCTAAGTGGGTAGATAGAATACTTGTAGGTAAGATCAGTTAGGAACGAATAGAATATTAATTCTTTGCGAATAATCACATTTGCGGTTGGGAATTTCAAAAGATGGAATAAAAGAATTGGAATAATAAAACTGAACCTCACTTTGTAATTAAGTGTGTGATAATGGAATAAATGCGGCATAATAGGATATGTAATGAGGGAGGTCGATTGGTCACGAAAATCCCAAGTCTAAGGACGGTCAAGATAAACCGAAGCATTCCCAGAAGCAGTTCAGAGCTGACATTCTGCTAAAGCAACTATGACTGCACCGCGTCAAGACTTCAGAGGTATTCGGATGCAGGAACATTAATCCAAGACTAGAAAGCCTACACGACCGCACACTTACTTTCGAGTCGAGTAAATTTCCATGCTCGACAGTCCTCGAATCTCGCACAATCAAGCATAAAACAGACACCTTCAAACAATATAGCAATGGAGTCACAATTACACACGCAATGGCGCAAACCAAGCACAAAGGCTCACACGAGTTCCAAAGGAAATAGAAGCAAAAGGGACACATTGAACTGAGTTTTATGGGATCGACAAATAGAGAATTGAAAGTTGTGCGAAGAATTTGAAATGGCAAGTTAAATTAAAGCTTTCGACACAAATAACCTATTCTAACGTGATAACATTACACAAGGTTTACATCAAGCAAACTTTTTCGAAACCTAAAGTATAACCACCTGTTGAAATTTTTGAACCGGTGCGACCCGATATGATCACTCATCATAAACCGGTGAGGAGCAGATCAATTGCAACACCAGCCTCGAATGAGTTTAAATGGGGTTTACACAATAGTGTGTGAAAACAAAATTGATCATGTTGGAACTGATCTTGATGAAAATGGTAACGATGCTGACTCACCGCATTGCATCTGTTGCTATGCTTCAAAGCGGAACAAATGTCACAAAGCTGAGTGGCATGACAAGCCTTCAATTATATGAGGAAGGTAAAACTCATTTAAATTCAGGTGAAAACAGGAGTCATGTTATTACAAGTCTACCCGAGTTTATGAATTACAAATCTTACAACGACATTCAAAAAGACCGGAGCAGGCCCAACACGTGGAAATCAGCATGGTTAATTACTAGATCACGAGGCAATTTCAGTGGAGTATCTTAAACCAGAATTTATTGGAAGTCGGGTAAGTTAACATTGCTTCTGTGACTCGACGTAGAAGTGGGATGCACTCAAAAGAGGTGCTGAGCAACATGAAGAGAATCACATAAAAGGGCTCTAGGAGAATGGATATTTACAGAACAAATACAATTGTCTGTGGTCTCAAGTTTCGCATCCAGCCTTCACCATATACACAAGACAGAGTTTGAGCTACAGTGCAACCCGCACTGCAAGAACTTGCTACACGATTAATTCAATACTAACTGGATTAACCTCGACCAGGTGATTATGGGGACGGAGTCAAATGAGCCTCATCTCTCCGTTAAATCATTTATGAGCGCACTCTTAACGTTTGGACTTACTAATCTTTTTTATCAAAGTAGAAATATAGTGCCAAAAGCAGAAGATCACGAGTTGTTAAGCACACATTCATGAAAAAGTAGTATGGCGAATTGCAAAACGTATTGAGACTTCTTATAAGAATATGCACTATAATGATCGGTCTCTACTTGGACAAACTTATGCAAGAATCACAAATCCAAAAGCTTGGGAGATTCAGATTAGGTATGCTCTGTAAAACTAGTCATCGTTACGATAATTTCAGTCATCCCTAACACTAAAGAAAATAAGGCTATAATAGTTCAACCGACTCGAAATTCCTGGTGGGCTTAACCACACATCATTAAGACACCAAAATTAATAATTCACCAACGAAGATACGAATACTTAAGCCGTTTAAGTAGCAGGCAGCAGGGGTCCAATAGTCACTAAAATTAGAGTGTGCCAACGAGGCAATCAGACACTACGACTGAACATGCAGACTTTATGTTCATGCAGCATTTGAAGTCACGTTTAATGTTAAGAATTATCAAGTAGGTCGTATGAATGTGACTTGTACGTCAAGACGGAGGTAGAGGAGTTTGCTAAAAGGGAATGAAATGTTTGGCAACGTAGACACATTCAGTCGAAAGATACGGAAGAACACCTGACCCTAAGCCCATCACTGTCTAGCCCAGCGCATAATAAGTAATCGCTTGCAGGCTGTGAATAGAACTTTAAATAACTGGATAAGTAAACTAGAGGAATGTGCTGACGCGATCCGTAACCTCAACAAAACAAAGAGAAAAGGCAGACATGTAGGAAAAATCGGATGGTTGGACAGTTCTCAGTGGACGTACATCACAAATGATTCGATCAAAAAACCAGACCTAGACTAATTTGTTCGCAGCCGAACGACACCAAAGTAAAATTTTTGACAGATAAAAGGGATGTCATCTTTGAGTGATTGGATGGTTTTAAATAAGTGGGTGCAATGAATAGCCGACGGTTTGGTTTTATGAATGAAATCACTTACTGTAAAAAGAAAAAAGGATTCAAACATAATTGTACAAAAGGTAATTTGAAACAGTAACAGTAAATCATTCAAAAAATTTCCGCAACCGAGGTATCTACTTACAATTTGATAGTTTACCCATAGTGAGATGTCGAACAACAAGTTCCCACCGAAGGACGATGGAACTTGGTTTGAAGAAATAAAATCGAACAGTTCCTTTGGTTCATCAATGAGATGAAGGGAGAACAAAATATCGCCGTAAATTCCTGCAACAAACTTATCCGATGCGATACGCTGAAAGAGGCCTTGAGGTTGTAGAACGACAGCATACTCAATCTGATCTAGGTAGTACAGCTTTATTTAAAGAAATTAGAGAAAAACACCATACATTCAAGTGCATTAGAAGCTTTTTTACAGAAACCCACCCGCACTTACGACGATCGATAGCAAAGACATGCCTGCAAAAACTACTGCAAAAATTACCAATATCCAAGTCCTACGACTGGAGAAAATAATCAAGTAATGAATCCAGCACTGTGAAAGACTGATTGTACTCAGTGATGTCGGGGAAAAATAGGACAGGGTGATTGTGAGCATCCAGCGAGCCTAGAACTCTATAAAATATGACAACCACAGACCAGGTGCAAAAACGTATGATCTTCTCAAAATATCACAGATTGACTTCGCAGAATGAGTAACACATAACCGAACCATCAGAAACAAGTACTAAAACTGGTCCTCAAAACATGTAGCACTCGCTAACTTCACATTTGTGCTAAAGAGTCAATCTTTCAAACAAAACGTCATTTAAAAAAATAAGAAAAAATTACAAACACATTAGCAACTCGTTCTCAAATTATGAAATCTGTAAAAGTGATGCATTGTGGACAGTTGCTTTTCCGGATTGTACGCACAGAATCAACCTATTAGCACAAGGAATTAATTTTCAAGTTTAATCCTACCACTAAAATCATCTAGCTTTGGTGTGCACTATGTAACGCTTTGTTTGTGTGGCTATTTGACGTTCAGCGGTCATTTTGAGATTTGTCTGGCTCTTGTACTCGTGGGCTGGTCCTCGGATCATGCTCGGATTCTTTCGCTCTGTACTCTTCAGAATACATGCATCCACCCTCACTTACTGCCTTCTACCACGCGGTGGGTAGGATTTGGAGCTATTGACTTAGTTAGGATGGCAGCTGTAATACTTTACCGGTGCTACCACGTAGTGTCCAGCAATCACTGTAAGATTCGTGTGGTCCTTGCACGGGTGGGAGTGCCTTCTGGCCAAGCTCGGGCTTAATTTTTCTTTTCTCTCTTTGAAGTGCATGTATTCAGCTCCACTTCATTTCTTCTCCAATCCGGTGGGAAGGCTTGAGATGCTACATCAATAATCTAATTAGCAGTCAGTACAAAAGTGCCCAATGGCCCCAAGTAACGTTCTCAGACTTTTAGATTGGTAGCAAAAGTAATGGGACATGTAGAAAGGAAATAACTAAACGGTAGTATGGGCTCTCCGGAAGCCGGCTTACTTAGCAAAGCATCATGACCACCCGTGTGATCACTATTTAAACCTACAGGTAGAAGAGCACATTATGTTGGGCACTCTAAGAGACGAAGAAGAAATGGGGTCTTGGCATGGCCCTAAGGTAAGTCCACATGCACAAGTGTGGAAAGGATACCAAAATAACCACCGGATGTCAGATGATCACGCAAACAAATTATTATAGCAGTTGATATACTATATGCCAATGTGCTTAAGTTGCCATAGGAAAGGAAAGGCGGTGGGTGGATTTGAGCGCCATGAAAGTGAAGTGTGAGGATCCTTTTGAGAACTAAGTCCTGCATCCCACTTGTATCCTTATCCCTACATTCTGTACCTGTATGACTATGTGCAATAAATCCTCCTCTGAGCACCTTCCCTTAAAGAAGTCGAGAAAGACAGTGGGGAAGGCACTACAGCAACTTATAAAATGCAACACGTCATTCCAATCGAAAACATAAGATGAGCGACTACGCACTGCATAATGAAGTATCCCCATTTTTGACGCTCTTCCATGGCACCTTACGCTGTGTGCTTCCCATGGAAATGATAACTTCCTATATTGTAGAAGAAAGCGTAATACTTCGTTTATGTGATCACCTGATGTCCGATGGTTGCTTTAGTATACGCCTTGCTCTTGTAAGCCTAAGCTAGTCATCGGGCCTTCTTCTACTCGGTAGACTGTCGTGAACTACAGAATATATCAATTATGTCATATTTCATCTGTTTTGGGAGAAGGGTGAACATTTAGCTTTGGCTTGGCCTAAAAGTCTGCTTAAGCAATCAAGTGCCAGACAAGGGCCAAAGTGACCACCTGCCATACAGGTAGTCACTTGAAAAAATCAAATGTGACACCAAAGCACAAACTCGGACAACTGTGCTAAATGAACTCCCAATTGCCTTTTTGACTAGGTGTAACCTTGGTCCTCATCTTGATTTTTCTGTCTTAGATAAATCATTTGGTCCCAGTAAGATAAACTGCTTTATGTAGATCTGTTAGGTTCCGAGATTAGGGCTGCATGAAAGAGAGTCAAAAGTTGAGAATTAGAATTAGAATTAGAATTCCTGTCGTCTCGATAATACACATATTCAGCTGCACTTTCTGACTACTTATACCGGCCGGGTGGTCTCGGAACAGCGGTGACAGCGGAAAGCGAACGCGACATTTTCGTTTTAACGACTTTTAACCGAGATGATGTCTCTCTCTGTGGCTTGTTCTTCGTTGGCCGTTTGTTAAAAGCCACATAGAGTCAGGAAAATCTATTGTCCAACACACACCGTTGTCTTACTAGCATCCCACGTCTGTGTTGCTAAACTTTGCCAATTAGTCAACTGATTTCTGGAAAAGAACAAGCCAACGTGCAATGGTTCGATCGGATAATGAACTGATTCACGAAATGAAGTTTGTAATGCATCCAGCAAACAAGACTGTAAAGAAATTCTACATATTGGTGGAGAAATCCAAGATCAATAAGTGCATTTTGGCAGTGCACGCCAGCAATCATGAGCTATACATGCGCATAGAAGGAAGTCTGACTCTATCGAAGTGCAATAATGAAAATACAGGCGATTAAGGACGTGAATTGAAGGATGCACTTTTACCTTGATGACAGAGAATCCCTGAAACATTCACAACGAAAGGATTTGGACCGACGTCTGCACTTGGTTTCACCTTATTCCCGTGTTCCACAGACAAGCTATTAACAACTGAAGAGACACAGCCATGAACTATCTGGAAAAGTATTGTGTCGGAATTTCCCATAAAATATCCGTGTTTGGGTGTTGGAACTGACACTACGGTTCTCCTTACATACGGGGAGTGGCTCACCCCGTTTTTCCTGTAGCATTTCGGCTTTAGACCAGTTTCACCGTCTAATCCTGGAAGCAATTCATGGTCAAAAGGTGTATGCGGCCCCGAATTTGATCGTCAGACCGAACGTAACTCCACATCCATTTGGAACTGTCGAGGAGACCAGGTACGGTTCCTCAGTCTCATGCTATCTGCCGACTGGTGTGGTTGGCCCGTGGGTACTTTCATTTATTACTGAATACGTGATGGCTGGGGCGGGAAGTGTACCAAAGGGGAGCGCCGAGGACGTCGCACAAAAGCAGAGGGGGGGGGGCAGTGTAAGGCTATGTTCATATGACTACTTGACGTTTGGCGGTCACCTTAGGATTTGTCTGGTCCTTGTACACGTGGGCTGGCCTACAGACCATGCCCAGGCCCCTTTGTTCCTCGTCTTCATAATATATGTATCCAGCTGCACTTAATGACTTCTTATGCTGGCTAGGAAGTCTTAATACGCTACCCTATAGTGACCTTTAGACAGCAACAAAGGATTCAGCGTTTTCTCATCTGTAGTTTAAGATACTCTCATCCTTGATTTTAATTATTTTGCTGTCCTCATGTAGAGTTAAGAATGTGCAGCACAGAAATTCCTAGTAAAATTTATAAAAAACTTTGCTTACAGAGAACTGAATCAGAGATATAATAATGGCTTTAAGAGAGTTGCTACTTTTAGCACAGAAATTTATTATGTTTTTGTTTATATGCTTTATTATTTTAACCGGTTGATAAAAATACGCCAATCAAAAAATTCCGGCTTACATTAACTTTATCGCTATGGTTATGCTACAGCGATGGCCAAAAAAAAGGTGGTGAAGAAGAACTATTTGACGTGCGTAAAGTCCAAAACCAGTCAAAATCTAAAATCTCGCAAAAAGTCGGTTTATAGGAGTCGTCTTTTGAAGAATAGTGAGCCTCCGATTTCCTACAAAGAGTCCCATTCTATCGGTAGAAGACAATCAACTCATGTTCCAACGTACAGTGAAAGCGGCAGACTTTATTATGATTTATACGTTAAATATGGGTTGACTGGCTGCTTTTCTAAGAAAGATGATAAACTAACGAAAGAACATAATCATGCTTTTGGCTTCGAATCTGATGTGTCAGATACGACGACTGTTGCATGCAATGAGGCGTCAGGTAATTCTTTAGGAAAGAGGACCCTCCACCTGAAGAAAAAGAAGAAACAAGTGGTTAAGAGGAATAGGATCGTGGCATTGTCACCCCAATCCTCCGCATCATATACACGTCGCGAAGCAAGCTTAAATGCTGAAGCAAAAGTAAACATGCTTTTTGAATCTTCGAAGGAATGTAAGCTAAGGAGACGGTCATTGCCTAGTTCTCTATCTTCGAAAGTGACAGAGGATGTGCCTGGTCCCAGTAATGAAAATACAGGCTGTGTGTCTTCTCGAAGACGTGTATCGCGTTTGCGGGCATCTGACCCACCAGTTTCCTATTCTCCTCCCAGAAAACGCTTGGCAGGTCTTAATGCAATGGCTATAATTAGCGCATTCATGAAGTCGCCTAAGTCAGCACCCTCTGCTGATGTCAAACCTCGAAGACGTGGGAAACAACCCAAAATTTCGCCAACTCGGATGACGAGTAAAAATAACTCATTCGTGAATACTGAAGGGCGGTCTTCTCACGCTGAACCATCGAATCAGTTACAAACACCAACTCAGCCTAGCTCTCTGTCTGCTGCAGTGCCTGTAAGCAATGATACTAAACTGAGGCCATCTTCGGCTGTGCCCACCGTGGAGCGCTTTCAATCCCACAAGGTGATATCTTATGGCTCGAAATGCATAGGCGTTGAAAATATTTCCCGACAAATTATTCATGTCCCGTCTCAAAGCCAAAGTTTGCCTGGTCCCTCATGCCCAAATCCTGTTCCTCAGCGTATTTTCACTCCACCCTGTTCGTCGTCTCCGCCTCGTACTTCCTCCTCCGTGACGCCAGCCGCAAACGTCTCACCCCAACAAAATCAGTCTATGATTGTTTTTCCTGACACCTCTTTCAGTTCCCCTCCACGGTCGGAAATCCTTTTGCCCGCAGACGTTCACACATGCTTCCCCAGTCATTTTTATTTAAGTCCCTTTAATCACACATCTGCTCTACAACCGCACGCATTTTTCATGTCCCCCACATTAATTCATTCAATGCCCTCATCACCATTCCACTTTCTGCACACCTCACCATTTACGACGTATATGCATTCACCCACCCCTATGGCTACTAACTACATGCTTCCGATGCCCGTATCTCCAGTCTACAATGCCTTTTCTCATGGAGGGTTCGGTAGCTGTATATTTCCTCGACCTGTATTTTCAACTCAGCCAATGCCATCTCTAGCGCCATCAGCACCGACATCATCACAACCTACAGCGTTGGCATATGAATTAGGCAATTCACAGGCGCACAGCACACCCGCCAATGAGCCACCGAAGCGAGTTGATAGGGCGGTGTCACCGATGCCGGAAATAGAATATGAAAGTGCTTTCGGTCCTGCTTGCACTGTTCAAGTGAAGAAAAGTCCAATAAAGCGTGCATCTTTGGAAAAAAAACAGGTTCCCTGTTTGTGGGTCTGGGAAGGAACGCCCAGCGAGAGACCCGTTTTCGTGAAAGTGCGTTTTTCTTCCTGTTTTCTTATTTTTTCCTAGACACTTTCACTTTTCATAGATACCTTTCGTGAGCAATAAGTTAACAAGTTCTTTGCGTTTATATCCGAAGAGGATTCGATTGTCCTCTTCTGAGCGCTTATAACTGAGCCATTAGTCGGACATCTGTGCACGTTAAGGTCGTATCACACTATTAGCTGGTGCCAGCCTGAAGCATTTTCTTTATTCTTGATTGACAGCTAGCTAGTATCACAGAGCAAAATAGCTTACTTGATAGGTCTATTGCCTGTGCAATATCTTGCAGTCATGCTCCATTTCACGCTAAGTGCGGTTTATGATTGGTCTGACGACGTTTGGGGGTAGCTCTCCTACTAGGCCTTTGAAGCATTGAAGGATTAGTGGCGCAAGGCTTGACTAGGCTTAAACGGCAAAATTGCGTAATTCTGGTCCGCAGCCGGATTCGCCACCAGTGGCCCGCATGTGCTATTCATCGATGCGCCATGAGAAAGACGGCATGGTGGTTTGCCCCGGGGACAATGTCCTCCTCTGCAGCGGTCCGGACCGTCACAGTGCTCCTCATGTTGCCAAGGTTACGGCCCTCTTTGACAACCCTGACAATGGTGAGGAGAATGTCTCAGATTTTTTTGAGGTTTTATCATACTTATAGTTTGTTGGAGTTTTCTGCTTAATTTTGTTTTAATTTCCGATTTCGTCAAAGAATTTACATTTCATAAACATCTCAACTTGATTAATTTGTGGGCATTGCATAGACACCAAAACTAATTTACTCTTGTTCGTTTTTAGGCGCATGATTACAAGCCATGGTACGGTGATTATTAGGCTAACATTTCGATGCAGCTTATTCGCTTACAGCCTCAATACCACAGGTTCAAATAAATCGAGACTCCAACGCGTTATACGAGACTTTTATTGTTGTTTGCTCTCTGGGAGTGACACTCATCAAAACTCTTATTAGGATAATTTATTACGAGTCTCCCGGTTCTGCTATGCAGTTTAAGCAATCAAAATATTGCTTTCACCAAAGGAAATCTATCTCTTCTATAGCTTTCTCCAGCCCAAGTGATATATACAGAGGAGTGGGCTGTGCTTTCATCATTTAATTCGCGTCATTCCTATCCTACACGTGATGTACTTACGCCTATGTAGGTACCAAGATGATGGCATTGTTGTGGTATTATCGTCCAGACAGTCTGACGCCGCCACGCCGAAGTGGCGTTGTGGAGTGCGAGTTGTTTGCCAGTCGGCACTGCGACGTGAATCCCGTCGACTGCATCGATGACCGCGCTTACGTCCTCTCCTCTGCTCCTTATGCGCGCTTCATGGCACTGGCTAAGTACAAACAGGTAATCTACCTCGTTACCTTTTATTTTTATTTCTCGCCTGTCTTTTAAACAAAATTGGTATATGCAGATTGCCTGATCATAAAACCACCAGTTGTACTTATTATTGGCTTTTCATTGGCAGAAACTTTGTTGAAAAACAAACGTAGTACACTCTGTTGAAATTGGATTTCTAGCTTGCCTTGAAACTGATTTTCAATCATTGAAAATTGATTGACTTACTGGACATGCGACTGTCCTATCCACAGAGGTCAAAGCTTGTTATGAATTACGGATTCTTAAGGTTTATTACTCATATCGGGATTGTAAAATCATTAAGATTCTTTATTGGTAGCAAACTATACAAGATACATTGGCAAGGAAATTTTATAAACCTGGGCACCTTGGCATGTTGACTCAAAAATTTGACTTCAAAACGATGCCTTTTAGTACAATTTTTAAGCAAATGCAAATGTTTTCCCTTATCCCTAGTCTGCTGCTTTTTGTGCTACTCATTACCACGAATTAACCACATAACTGTTCTCCAATTCCTTCGCGTGCGCTAGTTTGGGATGATTTCAGATGTTTGTTAGTTTTAATTACGTTTGCAAGACTCCTCTTCACCTCATAATCGAAGTAGCTCACACTTTACAATTGTTTTAACTAGAATTTGCTATAAATAATCGTTTCAATTGTTATGCTAGTTTGTCGTTTCGTGCATTCAGCACTACTCATCGCCTCTTACTCGAATTTAAGGGAATCGAACTGACCGCATGTGCTACTTCTTGCTACTTTTTCTTAATTTCCTTTTAAACTACTACTCTCTGTTGCTTCTATAACTTTTGCTTCGTCCAGTTGCATAGTTTCATCTTGGCACACTTATACCGCATGACATACCTTTAATGTCAGACACACTGAAGTGTGAAATGCTGGAGGCATACCACACTTAACATCGCTTTTGCATATAATTTGAGGTCAAGGGCATCTTCGCTGTCTAGCGGCCATTGGAACCCAAGGTCTGGGGATAAAAGCACGGATTAAACCTTAAACTTCTTGGATGAATTCATCTCGCGATTTTGTATTTCATCGACGTATTCTTGTCTAAGAATTATAGAGCTTCATTTTTTTGTATCCAGTGATCTGAGAAGATGATATTGGTTTGCCAAAACTTTTATTTTTTTACGGGTGTCATTCATTTGGTCGCTTGTTTTGTTAGTAACGTTACAAATTTGGGGGATAATCGACTCCTATGGATAAACGCTACAGTGTCCATATGAGGTCAACCAGGTCTGCAGTTTCCCTTACGAATTTTATCCTGCAAACCAACGCCCGATTCCTCAACTTCGCATACAATTACGCACTTTATGAGTACTTCTTCAGCAGTGTTTATTATTTTCCGCGCAAAATGCGTTTACACCATTTGAATCATTTGGTGAATGGCAAAGTGAGCACGATGTTTACAAAGCGCTAGGTTCTAATTTGTGGCCTATTGCAATAATACTTTTAGTGATGGGCTCTTTATTATCATACCTTTCGCAATGAAATTACTTAGAAAGTACCATTCATTATGCACCTGCAGAACACTTAGTGTTTTACAAGAGGTTGCTTTAAGCATCACATCGCTGGTTGCAAGCGTATTTTCCTTTGAATATATTACTTTTTGACCACTGATAATGCATTGTGCTTATTCTGCTGACAGATTTATGCTTTAAAATTCCTCTACCATCTCACTCACATCACCGCGGTGTTTTTGCTCTTCCTTTTTTGGCCTTTTGTCTAATACTCGTACATGAAAAAGTGGGATGCGCTTGCCGCATTAGAAGTACTGTTTATGTACAACAAGCTTCATAAAGAAAGTCCAATGCGTTTTCTATATTTGGTCGGAATGGCATCACAAATTTGGGATGTTAAATTTGGCTATATTTTTGGATGTTTATATCCTTCTTCTAATACCTATCTACGAATGGCCACGTGGTGACGCTCCAGTGTAGGACCATCTTTCTTAATCCTTTTCTTGTACTTTTTTGGCAGGAGGCTCGAACTCACCGTCGACCGGTTTCTGCAGTCCCACAGATTCCCATTTCCAAATCTCGCGATATTGCAACCTTCTCCGCGAATACTGAGGTTGTTTACATTGCAGCCATATATTGCCTCTCCTTTCATCACCAATTCTAACGGTTCCTATCTTATGTGCTATTGCACCCCGTGCTTAATTTCGTGAACTATTATCTGGGCTTCCGTAGCACTACAACACCACTCTTTCTTTTTTATCTTCCTTTTTAACAATGGTTCGAACAAATTATTGTACCCATCTGGGATACTGCAGCAAATTCATTAGTTTTCCAAATTTTCCCCTTCAGTCAATGCTTAACCTCTAATTTCTTGAATAACCATTTATATCATGTTTAAAGTTATAGGCTCACTATTGCCTAATGCAAAGTGGAAATTAAGCATGTGTGCAATTGTTGTTTAAAGAACTGCAAGACCAAGGCGCTGATGTCCCTCAGAATTCTGACACTTCATCAAATATCACTCTTGGTGAGAAATTGTCGTATTGCTGCTCTATCCTGTTTAATTAAGGCAAACCGTTAACACAAGGGAGAACTTTTTGGGGCGGTTTTTAATCACTATCTCATTGGAACTTTGATAGAATTAACTGGGCTACATTTGTTTAATTAATCGTTTATCGAGATTGGAATGTGTTCGTCTACTTGCGACTTCATACGAGAACTCAGTTGAATGCACCCCTATTTTGCCAATACTGGTCTTCATCTGGTCTGCCATCCGCTCCAAATTTGGCAAAAAAATCAACGTACGGGAGTCTTGGACAGCAATTTTCTCTGATTGGGTCGCTCTTTTGCTGTATGAGATTTTTAGGTTTCAAGACACTATTAAGGATGTTTTTAATTTGGATCTCATTAAAATCTTTGTACTTGTAAAGCTTGTTATTATCATTCCATATTTTGTGGTTTAATGTAGCCTTCCCTCTTGAGCGATTTCGCCAATTAAAAAAATCAACTTTGTGGAGAAATATGCCACACTTCGATTTACTGCCTCACAATCATAAGGGGAAAGGATAGCTTGCTTCCATCAACTTTCCATTATGAGTTAGATTGTTTCTTATCATCTCACAGACACTTTCTTGACTATCTTCTGCTTCCATATTACAAATGCACTGTAGCAATAGCTAGGTACTAGATACTTTTGTCACAATTTTAGCCTTTTCTGGGTCTTTAGTCGCTCTTTTTTTTCAAAATCACGTCCTTATCATTGTTAATCACACTTAGCTTTCGTTGTTCTGAGAGGAGTGATTTTTGGGTGGGGTGTCATAGAACACTGGTATCCTCATATGCATTATATTGTCAAAAGCATCTATCGCATCTTGTGTTTTTCAATTCAACTTCTGTACTTCGTTGTAATCTGAGTCACTTTTCCAACTTTAGGCCGATGGAAATCTTATATGCACTTCCTACGATCTCGAGGGTCACCTCCGTAATTTTACTCTACCATTTATTACATGTAGCGTTGTGAGGAGACGATTGTGGCGAAGCGTGTTTCCTTTTAAGTGATCACTGGGTCTAAGTTGTTGAGTCCCAATCTATGTGTATGTATCTTGTAATTGTAGGCATTTCCACATCATGCTCTACTATGGGGTTACTGCTGCTCCCAGTTTTACTCGCGCACGTGCTAACGCAACAAACGGCACAGTATTGGTTTCTCGTGCTTGCGATTTGCTGCTCAAGCTATCTTTACAAGTCTAGACTCGAAAGGCTCACTATCTGACTTCCATTTTAACTGCACTAGAACAAAGTATTTTTTGTCACTATTCTCGCATTTTCAGAACTTGTTTGACAGCTAACTTTGCTTTTTTGGCTAACTTCATAAGGTAATACCTGACAATACTGTAAGGGTCTTCCGCAGCAATCGAAGCTGTGTTCTTTTCTGGCATAAGACTGATGACATTGCGCAAATGGGACGATAGAACGGCTATCAGCTAACGACGCTTCGATTGTTCCTGTTCCAGATTAATAGTGAAAGCCGTGTTTCCTCATTTCGCCTGGAAGAATGTATTATTAATCCTTCTTAGGCCCCTTCTTGCGATATCTCCGAGTTTCCAGAAGATGCGACTCCTTCGAATGTATTTCTTTGCCGCGCATGGTATGACTTCCGTTCTCGCAGAGTTATACGACATTTGAAATCGCTCAACAGCAACCTCGATAATGGTGACAATAGCAATAATGGTGGCTACAGTAACTCCAACAAGCCATCTCATCGGCAGCAGGAACGGCAGTTGGACGTCTCAGGTCTAGTCCATCTTCTGGGCCCAAACCCCTCCTCCACACTCCTGACTCCTGTACCACCTTCACCACCACTTCAGTCTCCATCTGTTTCTCCTCCGGAAAAGGTGGTGTTAGTGGAAGAGACAGCTGAGACTGAGCAAGAGGTAGCGATGGCTGAGTCGGCAGGAGAGATCTCCAACGGACAGGCCTTGCTCGAAAAGACAGCGGATATCGCACTCAACTGGCGTGAACATAGGGAACAAGTAGCACTGTCTTTGGGAAGTGCTCCGCTTTCACCGTCGCCGAAGAAGTCTGACACTATCCCAGTCACTTCTCCCTCTTCTTCAGCCACTCCTGCTTCTGCGTCCGACTCCATACCCACGCCCGCATCCCAGCCACCCCATATACTACTCTCCTCCTCCCCTTCCCCCTCCTAACTCTATCAGCCTGTTTCTTTCGCCCCCTTGGTTTCTATTGCCTCGCTCTCCACTGTGTTTGTCTGTGTGTACATAACAGCGTCATCGTTGGCATTGTTATCACTTCGCTCTTTCCGCCTTCATCTTCCCTCTTGGTAGCTTTGAAGCACTAATGCTATTAATAAAGCCGTTAATGTCAGTCTCTGTGGCATATCACTACTGAATGTGTGCATTGTGATTATTAACAAATATAACAGGTGATTCTTGGAGTCGTTGGGATGAGGTGAAAATGATCATCTGGTCGCTATTACCTAAGGAAGGATAATGGAAGGTATGTCTGATCATTATTTTTGACCATTCAAGTTTACGGAATATGAAGGTAGTTAATCGTCGCCACATAAATTGTCATGACTGTCACAATGGCTAGGAGTGCTATTTCTTCCTGCGATCACTACTTCATGTGACTTGTTGCAGACAAACGGTTCGTAGCATGTTAATCCTGACAAGAGCTCAGAAACTCATACCACTTTAAGGGGAAATCAACTATTAGAATTAAAGGATACTAGGACTTAAGCATCAACAATTGTACCCAAGCAAAAGAAGGGAACAAGAGGCTTGCTATCGAAGTGGGCAAAATGATGAACAGCTACTGCGTTGAAATGAATGCAACTCCCGACTTGGGGAACTAAACAACAGCTCAACGCCGTGGCAAAGAGTGTACAAGAACCCTATCTTTGCCATAAACATAAATAATTTGAGTGGACAGCCTAGATCCTAATGGAGTATTCATTCCTTGGTGGCTAATGTCTATTGGATTTAAGTTTCGTAAAAAGTGCCTTGAAGGAGTCATAAGTTCGAATTGGGTGGACACAGACACCAGTCAAAGTTAGCCGCCGGAAACTATCCTACGAATAGGGTCAAGATATTTTAAAGGACACACAATGATACCGCACGAGGTCAGTTGTAATTCAATCAATCTCTTTGATTTCCACGAGTTCTGCAAATCCTAACTAGTAAAAGTGACAAAATTATTAGTGTAAGCATATAATTTCACCCAGGTGCATTACAGGACATTATAATGCGGCCAGATACGTTTATGGTCATCCGTAACACTTGATTGAATTGATTCAGATAGTTATCAGTGTTAATTATTTGCACTTGAACGTTCCTACAAGAGCAAATGTGTTCAAAGCTATGCTAAAGTTATTCAATGTAAGAAGAGCTGAAAACACTGGTTGTGCACTTAAATATTAGGGGATATCTGTGCTACTTATTATACTGGTAAAACCTCAAATCATTTTCTCATGTTCCTGAACCTCTGATTTCATTAAAGGCTGTTTGGAGAGGGTTTATGGGCATACCTTGCGGAATGGAAATGGGACTCGGTATGCTTAAGACGGTGGTCTGCGTTACTGCATAGAAAGGTCCTTACGTTCCTCAATCGCATGATTCGTTTTTGAATTTACTTCCATCCTAACACTCACAACGAAGAATTTGAACAACCCGTACTTGTTATAATATTGCCCTAAAAATCGGATTACATCGAAGAACCCGCTAATCAAGCGGAGTGTGGATGTAGCCGGTTCGGGATTCGTCTTCCTAAGATTTTCAAAAAGAGGCTGCATCGTACCGAGACTTTCCACCGTATAGAAGTGGGCATAAAGTTCGGCCGAATGTATGCATTCCAGGGAGAGAAAATGGTTAAGCCTGAGCTTGGCCTAAAGGCTAGCTCACGCCTGTAAGGGCCAGACGAATCCTAAAGTAGCCTGCAGACATCAGGTAGTTCCATTAACAAAGCACGAAAGAGGCTTTTCCTGAAGGAAGTTTGTTTGTTGATTCTCGGTTCGCAATGCGCAAGAAGTGTGTAGGAGGTGAGGTTCAATTTTTAATATAACCGCCTCCTTTGCAGATCTCTTAAGCAAGGCCTTCGGTTTAGGAGCGGATCTTCCTCCTAAAAAGCTCATTAGAAAATAACCAGCATGTGTTACAGCGGGTCATGAATTTTAAGGCTCGAAATCGGAGTGCATACAACGCGGCCGGACACCTGTGTTCAGGTGTTGCACTAACCTCCTCGCCGTAATATCAGTTGCTTTGGTATAGTATGATGCTTGTCCTGCTTGTCCTGCAGACATGGTGTCTGCAATGGTAGTTTATCTTACGAAAGCTATTAAAAGGTGAACCTGGATAACTTAAGCAGTAACATATTCATGCTCAATTTGTATGATTTTAATGCTTAGGCATGGACCTTTCCCATTTGTAAAACTAAATATACTTTTTAGCTCACCCCTACGAATTATTATTTAATCCACTTTTGCATAAAAAACGACTATGAAAGGTAAGAGGATATTATGCGTTCGTGCATCAAATCTTAATGTATTTTATCACAAGGACAATTCTTGTTTAAGTTAATCGGAAGTGTAAACTTGTAACTAGGCCAGTCTGATATATGCGTTCGGCTGTAAAAGTTAAGGCCGTATGGGCGCTTCTTCTAATCATACTTGGACTAATTTTTGTCCGCATTTTGAGCCGACCAAGTGATGCGGTTACTATCTATGTTATAACTCCAACATTCTATCGGATTACTCAAAAACCCGAGTTGGTTCGACTCTGTAACACTTTCTCGCTTGTTGAAAATATTCATTGGATAGTTATCGAGGATTCAGTTAACAAAACAGAGTAAGTTTATACGCCTACAAATAGTGTCATATGAGTGAAAAGTGTTGTAAGGCACGACAAAAGCTCCGCCATTCCTACACCCTTGATTACCTAAATTGCTTAAAAATTTTTATAAGTAGCCTTAAACATGAGTTATATACATGTATTAAAATGTGACCTTTTTTAATACTTACTATTATTCGAATTATGTGATTATCTGCAATCAATGGTTACTAGTCTTCCTAAGTCATTTTTAATGTCATTTAATATTTAATACATTCGTGCGCTATGAATGCTCATGTATAACATTATCCTTTATTATTTTTAGCTTAGTTGCTAATTTTTTAAGCGAATGTAAGGTTTCGTCGACACATCTGAATGCAGTATCACCAAAAGACAAGAATTATCACATTAAGGGAAGCAATCAACGAAACGCTGGTATGCAGTGGCTCCGAGAGAATATAGTCAAAGGACAACAAAGAGGCGTGGTTTACTTTGCCGATGACGATAATACATATGACCCTCGTATCTTTAATGAGGTAAGTATCTGGAGAGCTTTAGTTTTATTTGAGGCGCATTTTATTCGAATCATATTGGTTTCCCTGCACGACGCACATAAATACGTCCGTTCGCTGAGCACAAATAACATGTACAGTTCTACTTTAATAACTCGAACAATCAACAATATTACTGACAGATGCTGTTCCTATATAATTTATTTCAAAGGCTGGAAGGGATTATTGGTTCCGTGACTAGCAAGTAAAATGACCACAAAAGTATAGGTTCGTAGATAAGAATAGTGTTTTGGCACTAGTGCATGAATAGAGGCTCCCAAATGGAGCTTATTGTACTGTGGAGAAGTTTGCATGCAGGAAAAAAAGATCAACTTCTTTTCTTCCTTACGATCCCTAAATTGTGCGGAGAACGATATTGTTAACCAATCCGTTACGGAATCCAATCGCAGGGTTTACGGTGTACTGTTCAAAGTTGTTGATGTGAAGAGCATCGGAAAATATAAATTGTTCCGATTTGTCGATTTTAACTTGGTTAAAATGAAACTATATAACCAGGTTTTTGTGAGCGCCCTTCGTAGTTATTTTATCGGTGCTTTGGGAACAGCTTAGGGCGTTTGATGTGATTCACTTTAAAGCTTGTAGTGTGGTGCGACAGATGGATAGATTTTGGTAGCCAAGAGACCAAAACTATAGGGAAGTAAATCTTCTCCCTAAAACTACATGCGGGTACGCTAATATCTATTGCGTGCACACTTTTAGATTTTTAAAATAAATAAATATTTTACCTCAAAGTTAAGTGGTAGTCAGCGATTCCCTTGAAAACCGACAAAATTATCCATTGGATGCACTATGAATAGTTGGCGCAATCTTTCAGTCACCATTCCTTTGATTTAAAGCTGTAATGACTTTCAGTTAATCATGGTATTCCACGTGATGGACTGAACTCCGTTAGAGGCGACTTGACAACAACCTTGCTGATGAGCCAAAGCTGATAGTGTTGTGTTCAATGCTGTCTCTCATAGAATGAAAATCGTTCCAATTCGACACATTTTTGCATGTGTAGTGTGCATCAAATTGAACTCTCCAGATTGAACGCGATTGGGAACTGGGAAGTATCTAATGAGAGTTGCTCCAATAAGTATAGGCTTAAGCATCAGTAGCAGTGCCAACTGTGA